GGACGGGGAGGAGGAGGAGGAGGGGCAGGGACTTCCGGGGAAGGGGTGACCAGGAACAGGGGGGGGGTAACCGGGGGACCACGGTGGGGAAAGCGGCGGTAGTAGGAGACAGACTCGTCAAAGGTGACGTCACGAGAGTGAAAGAAGCGGTGAGACGGCGGGTGGTAAAAGTGCCAGTCGGACGCGTCAAGGGGAAAACCGAGGAAGACGCAGGGAAGGGTGCGGGCAGTGAGCTTGTCCGTGCCGGAGGCACGGACATGAGCAAGGTAGCCCCAGACGTGGAACGCAGACGCGTCACCAGGAGACCCAGTCCAAAGACGGGTCGGTGAAACCTGCGGCTGCTGAGGGTGCGGCCACAAGTTAAGCTGGTGAGAAGCGTAGCGCACAGCGAACGGCCACAGAAAATGGGGTGCACCGGCATGGATCATGGAGGTGCGAGCCACCTCCATGACCAAACCGATGCGTCGCTCAGCGACCCCATTCTGCTGTGGGGAGTCTGGTAGGGTGAACGTCTGGGTGATGCCCTCCGCACGACAAAAGCGACCAAGGACACCGGAGGCAAACTCGCCACCACGGTCTGAGTGAAGACGCAAGACAGGGAGACCGCGGTGGACACGCGCAAAGACAAGCCAGGGGATGAGAGCGCCAGGCACGTCGGCCTTGCGCTCCAGGGGAAAGACTGTGGTGTAACGAGTGAAGTCGTCGACAAGCACAAGGAAGTAGCGCTCTCGACGCGGCCCAGGGACGGGGGCGGGGCCCCAGACGTCCAGGTGCAGGGTCTGCAGCGGCGCGGCAGTAGGGGGAAACGAGGAGGAGTGAGGGGCACGGCGAAGCCGACCCTCGACACAAGGCGTGCAAGGTGGGGCTGGAGAGGAGGGAAACGCGGGGAGCGAAACTGGGAGACCAAGGACGAGACCGTGCTGAGACATGTGACGCAGACGCGGGAGCGCAGGGTGACCTAGGCGGTGGTGCCACAGAAGGGTCGGATGAGTGAGGGAGCGACAGGAGCAGGCAGCAGCAACCTGGGTAGACGCAGCCACCTGAGGGGGCGCTCCAGCCGGGGGGGTCACGGTGTCCAGAGTGAACAGGCCGGACACCGGGTCCCGGGGGAACGTGGACAGGGGGGCACCAGTGGCGGCCTCGGTACAGACAGCATACCGCTCGTGACCTGGGAACGTAGTAGTGACGCCAAGGTCCTGGAGGCAGCCGACACCAACTAGGTTCCTGGAGAACGAGGGGATATGCAGACCTGTAAGAGAACCCGAAGGAACCGTCGGACAGGGAAGGGTGGTGGAACTGCGAGCGACTACCGGACCGCCGGAGGGGTCAGCAAGAGAAACGGCAGCAGGAACAGGAAGCGGCGTCAGGGTGGTGGAGTCGCGGAAGAAACACCGAGAGGCGCCAGAGTCCAAGGTGAAGGAAAGCGAAGCCGAGGGGTCTGGCGACGGAACGACGGCGGAAGCACCAAGACTACACAAAGCAGGGGATCCTACGCCTGACGCAGCAGGGGAGGCTAAGCTAGGCACACATACACTAGGCAACAGTGAGTAATAAGCGGGAAGCACACTAGAGTCACCAGCATACATCACATGCAGAGCAGAAACAATGGCATCCATGTCCATATCAAAGATCTGAATCTGACGACTAAGCAAACTGTGCCAGTCCGGGAGGTCTGGCGACGGGCCGAAGCGCTGACGAAAGAGGTCGTCCAGGTGACGAAAACAGCGGGGAGTGGAGTGACCGAGCTTACCGCAAACGAAGCCGCGGCGAGGACCGGTCTGGATCTGGTACTGACAACGCCTGCCGCCAGAGCCACCACGCGGCACACCACCACGCGCCCGTCCACCGCCAGCGCCAGGCCACCCTGGCGGGAGGACACTCGTCTGCCGCGTCTGCGACGGCTGCTGCGGCTGCTGCGAAGGCTGCGACTGCGGCGGCTGCTGCGGCTGCTGCACCTGCAGGGGCGGCGACTCAGTTGAACTGGGCAAGGTCCCCTCGTCCACTCCAGCACCAGGCGACCCGACCCCACCACTACCCCCTCCCGCACCCCCGCTGCCTCCTCCGCCGTGCCCAGCCTTGGGGCGGCGGCCCTTCCCCGAACGAACCTGCGCTGCAGCAGCAGTCTCAGCCACTGCGGCAGAGCCGTCGGAGAAGGTGCACTGAGCGGGGGCACAACCCTGAAAGATAGGGACCGGCACGACACCGCTCGCCTGGGCAATGGAGCGGTGACGGGTCTCTATCACAGTCAGGGTGTCTACAAAGTCAGTGAGGGTGAGGTCTGCAGGGTGAACGCTAAGAAAGCGGTCGCGGGCGACAGCAAGGCGGTCAGGGAGGCGGGTGGCAAGCAGGTAGAGGGTAGAGGTAATGGGCGGCTGGTGGGCTCTAAGCTGGGCGTCAGTGCAGGCAGCGCGCCATGTCTCATCTATCGAGCGCAGGTGGGCAGCGAGGTTAGAGACAGTGGGGAAAGAAGCAAGGTCAGGAAAGAGCATCGGGAGGATCAGGCGGCCCACCGAGGCAGCCGGAGGGGTGGAATAGCGCTTGATGACGGCATCTAAGTAGGCCTGAGCAGTAGTGAGGGACCTAAAGCGAGGACGCTCGGACAGGGGGAGGGCATTGCTAATGGCAAGCTGTGCGACAGCATCGCGAGAAAGCCAGACAGAGCACGCACGGGCAGTGGCAGCAGTAGACTCACGCTCAGTGGGTGTGGGGTCAGCGGGCAGAAGAGCAGGGGGGTCTGGGCAAGGGAGCGTACCGTCAAGGTGTGCGGAAAGCGGTTCACCATCCTGCCGCTGGCCAGTGAGTTGACGGCGGAGATTGGCAAGCCACGCCTTAAACACTAGGGGCTGACCTTCAGCGTCGAAGCGAAGCTCCGCCGCCATAAGGAACAATCCAGTGCAGTGCAGGGCAGTGCAGTGCGGTGCAGTGCGGTGCAGTGCGGTGCAGTGCGGTACAGTGCGGTGCAGTGCGGTGTAGTGCGTTGCCAGGCAGTACAGTGTGGTGCGGGGCAGCACGGAGCAGGGCGGGGTGGGGGGGGAACCGTACCACTGAGGAGGACGGGGCCGGGGCTGGCCCGACGGGGCCGGGCGGGCGCGACGAGGCCGGGCTGGTGCGACAGGGCCGGGACGGGGCGACGGGGCCGAGCGGGCGCGACGGGGCCGGGCTGGGGCGACGGGGCCGGGCGAGTGCGGCAGGGCCGGGCCGGTGCGACGGGGCCGGGCGAGCGGGACGGCGGCCGGGCGGGTGCGACGGGGCCGGGCGGCTGTGACAGGGCCGGGCAGGGTGGGACGGGGCCGGGCGGGGGCGACGGGGCCGGACGGCTGCGACGGGGCCAGGCAAGGGCGACGGGGCCAGGCGGCTGCGACGGGGCCGGGCGGGCGCGACGGGGCCGGGCGGGCGTGACGGGGCCAGGCGGCTGCGACGGGGCCGGGCGGCTGCGGCGGCGCCGGGCGGGCGCGACAGGGCCTGGCGGCTGCGACGGGGTCGGGCAGGGTGCGACGGGGCCCAGGAGGGGCGCGACAGAGCCCAGGAGGGGCGCTACGGGGCCTGGGCGGAGCGCGACGGGGCCCAGGAGGGGCGCAAGGGGGGGGGGCCTGGGAGGAGCGCGACAGGGCCTGGGAGGGGCGCGACGGGGCGCTACGGGGCCTGGGAGGAGCGCGACGGGGCCCAGGAGGGGCGCTAGGGGGCCTGGGAGGAGCGCGACGGGGCCTGGGAGGGAGCGCGACGGGGCCTGGGAGGGGCGTTACAGGGCCCAGGAGGGGCGCTATGAAGCCCAGGAGGGGCGCGACGAGGCCCAGGAGGGGCGCTACGGGGCCCAGGAGGGGCGCGACGGGGCGCTACGGGGCCTGGGAGGAGCGCGACGGGGCCCAGGAGGGGCGCTAGGGGGCCTGGGGGGAGCGCGACGGGGCCTGGGAGGGGCGCGACGGGGCCTGGGAGGGGCGTTACAGGGCCCAGGAGGCGCTACGAGCCAGGAGGGGCGCGACGAGGCCCAGGAGGGGCGCTACGGGGCCCAGGAGGGGCGCGACGGGGCCCAGGAGGGGCGCGACGGGGCGCTACGGGGCCTGGGAGGAGCGCGACGGGGCCCAGGAGGGGCGCGAGGGGGCCTGGGGGGAGCGCAACGGGGCCTGGGAGGGGCGTTACAGGGCCCAGGAGGGGCGCTACGAAGCCCAGGAGGGGCGCGACGAGGCCCAGGAGGGGCGCTACGGGGCCCAGGAGGGGCGCGACGGGGCGCTACGGGGCCTGGGAGGGGCGCGACGGGGCGCTACGGGGCCTAGGAGGAGCGCGACAGGTCCCAGGAGGGGCGCTAGGGGGGGGCTGGGAGGAGCGCGACGGGGCGCTACGGGGCCTGGGAGGAGCGCGACGGGGCCCAGGAGGGGCGCTAGGGGGCCTGGGAGGAGCGCGACGGGGCCTGAGAGGGGCGCTAGGGGGCATGAGCGGAAGCGGTAGGTGGGGGGGATCCTACCTACGCGTGATACCACATCAGAAAGGAATTGAATAATGAGTAAAGTGAGAGTACACACAAATATACCTAAGTGTTGTACCCTCTAAGAGGTAACCCTATACAGTCTATACAAACATGACAAATACAGATGTTTGACATCAGGTGCCAACACGGCTGATATCTTTACGAAGGCGCTTGCGCCTAAAGATCATCAGCGGCACTGTGTACAGCTTGGTCTAGTTCCTGTAGCCTCTCACCTGCTAGGACCTTGACTTTGTACTGTCCTTTATACGTATACTCGGACTGGACTTGTGTCCTCTCCCAGTGGCTGGATTAGTAGTGCCGCCCTGCTCTTGTTCTTGCCTTGTTTGTACTCCTTCTGACTGGTCTCTCAGACCCTTGTCTCAGAGGTTGGACTAGTAGTGCCGCCCTGAGCTGCTTGTTTAGGACATTCCCCTATGCAGTCTAGGGGGTGTGTCAAACTTGTGTATTTGTCATGTTTGTATAGACTGTATAGGGTCGCCTCTTAGAGGGTACAACACTTATGTATATCTGTTTGTACTCTCACTCTATCAATCATTCTCTTCTTCAATTATGATAAAAGGCTCATACATGTTCTACAACATCGTCAGTCTGCTTTGCAGACAGCCTCAACCTGGAGCATCCCATGCTCGAGCAAGCTATAGATCTGGCGACTTCAAGATGCAGTGCCGTGGTGTTCAGCATGAAGTAAGCCAGTTGGATAGATACAGGTATATGTACTCCTGACTGTTTAGGCCATCCACAGTGACAGAGCTCTCATGATTTCACTCGGCTTTATCCAGTTCTGCCATTCTTTCAATAATGACCTGCACAAAAATTTCAAAACGGATTATCACAGGGCCCATATTTTAGGAACTGCAGGAGCCAGAGATACTGGGAGAACAAGTGATGAGTTTTATAAAAGTGCTAGCACAGAGAACACATGATGACACAACACATGCTGTACCTTCTTGCTTGTTTCTTGAAGCTCCCCCGCAAGCACAAACTCATCAAGGATAAGGTAAACCTGTAGAAATGCCAAAGGCGTAAGCACAAGGGATTGTTCAATTTCTGATAGAGGAACAGCGCACAGATATGGAGGGGATTAAGAGCAATAGATTTCCACGGGCTGTTCTGAAATGGGAACAGGGCAAAGGTATGGCAGGGGGTGAGAGCAGAAGTGTTGGCTCAATTAGCAAGAATTCTTACCTTGTGGAAATTGAACACCAGGTCAAGCTCGCAGACGTTGCTGAAGAAGTGATCTAGGATCTCCACGAACAGATGGATGCTCTCAAGGTACGCCAGCTCGTTGTCTGTGAGGTCGACGCAGAGGGAGAAGAAGAGGCCTGCATAGCGCCGGTAGATCACCTTGTATGTGCGGAACTGAGGGAGATAAAAGGGGGATGGACTCGAGGATGTGGGATATGGAGCGAGGAGGGATGGCAAGGTTAGGGGAATGACATCAAGGGGAGGAGCAAAACGCTCGTGCCTTTTTCTGGAAGGTAGGAACCAGAAGTAGTGACTCACGGGTGAACCATAAAGTACAGCAGAGCAGCAGCGGAGCAGCAGCAGAGCAGCGGCAGAGCGGCAGGCGTACCTCAACGAAGTTGGTAAATTTGGGTTCGCGATGAACCACCAGCCGGTGCACCTGACGCACGGGGGACGCGGGGATTCGGTAGGGATAGCAGGAGCTGTTGAAGGATGAACGAGCTGAAAGCAAGAAGAGAAGGTCAAGGGTGAAGGTTCACACTGCAATGATGCTGTCGTACTGAAATCCGCTGCACTGTAAAAGATGAGACCGCTATCGAGCAACGCTGAAATTCGGCCGTATTCTGTCTCATTTGACCGACAGTATCGCACAGACCGTATTTTCTACATTAGAGTGATCCCGGAGCACATTCTCAACTCGGTAGGTCCCCAGACAACAGTTGCAGCTGTAACAGCAGTCGCATCCGGGTGTACCTCGAACTCCAGCTTGTGCTTCTCCGAGTCCTCCAGCGGCACATAGTACTTCGCCAGGCGCGTCTTCCCCTGACGATTCTGAAGCAGAATGAACCGGATCTGCGCGGAAGCAGCACTCCCGACACGAATGGCGTGTGGAGATTGTTAGGGATTAGGGCAAGTGCTCTGAAGATAGTGATGGCGAGAAATGGATTAGGTGAACAGAATAGCGACCAGTCCCTACCATAGCGGCAGAAGCGCCACGACGAATGCTATTAAATCAAAGCGTGCTCGAGCAGGCTACGTCCAACGCCGCGATATCCCACCACACCGCGATAGCACTATACAGATGGTCTGTTCTTTGCTACTCGACAAAGCGGAAACGCGACTCCACCATAAATTGATCTGCTGGCTTCAACGCTCCAGCAGATTTGCTAAGGGCGTCTCCCGCGCGCACGTTTGATTGCGGTTGAGTGAGATGCTCTTCTATTCAGTAAGCTCAAATAACTTTGAGAAACGATTGGGTAGGGTATTGAGCCAGAAACGTACGCGCTGGACACGCCCTAAGAAACATGTTCTGCTGTCAGAGGTTCCCGAGAACGATTTATGCATCTGTTACACCGATCATATAAATATGATACACTTGCAATGAGATATAGAATGTTTTGGTGCAGTATAAGATTCATGCATTACACACCCCAATGCTGGGCCTTCGGCCTGGTTCTTGAGATATATGTTTGAGTGAAAACGGCACACTAATAACACATGCGGCATGCCTAATCAGTCGTATTGGACAGTGGATGCCGTACATCTTAAGTGTCCAATCAGGAGTCCACTAGCAGCGCCTGATGGACAAGTAAGCATCAACGTACGCATCGGAGCTACGGGCATCCCAGCTGGTATCCAGAGACATCGCCATCTTGGTGACCGCTTCCCACCGTTGCGGATTACCCTTCTGCACACCACATTGGAAAGCAGGAAAATAAGAATTTTCATAGGCAAGCAGTGATCTATCAAGTGAGCAAGAAAGAGCAGTGATTAATTCAGCTGTACCCACCAGGAGCTTGAGAGCGCGTGTGAGGGCGGAGACGGCATCAGCCGGCTTGTCGGAGGCGTAGAAGAACCCCACTCCCTCGGTGGCGCCCCTCCGCGGATCATCCACGTCCACTAGGCTGGTGGGGGAGGCGCAGAAGAGATGTGTGGGCGTGTGTGTGTGTGAGAAAGTGAGCGGAAGATGATCATCCACGTCCATTAGGCTGGTCAGGGGGAGGCGCAGACGAGGTGTGTATGTGTCAGAGTGAGAGAGGAAGATGATTGTTAAGGGTTGCACGTGGATTGGAAGGCAGTGCAGGTGAGTGCACGAGTGGGGAGTGGCAGACGCAAACGAAGGGGGAGAGAAAGGGACGAACGAGGCAAGGAGGAGGAGATGGACAGCTGAGTGCATCATACCCCACGTGGACCCCTGCACCCGTGGACCACAGTGGACCAGAGGGACCATAGTGGACCCGTGGACCAGGGGACCAGTGGACCACAGTGGACCACGGTGGACCAGTGGACCACAGTGGACCATGGTGGACCAGTGGACCAGCGGACCTGTGGACCACAGTGGACCAGTGGACCCGTGGACCAGTGGACCAGAGTGGATCACGGTGGACCAGTGGACCAGCGGGCCACAGTGGACCCCAGTGGACCTGTGGACCAGTGGGCCAGTTGGACTACTGGACCACAGGACCACAGGACCACTGGACCACACTGGACCAGTGGACCAGTGGACCAGTGGACCAGTGGACTACTGGGCCAGTGGACCGCACTGGACCAGTGGACGGCTGGACCAGTCAACTACTGGACCACTGGACTACTGGACTACTGGACCACTGGACCGCACTGGACCAGTGGACCACTGGACCACACTGGACCACTGGACCGCACTGGACCACTGGACCACCAGACCACTGGATCGCACTGGACCACTGGACCACCAGACCACTGGACCGCACTGGACCAGTGGACCAGTGGACCAGTGGACTGCCACTGGACCACTGGACCACTGGACCGCACTGAACCGCACTGGACCAGTGGGCCACTGGACCAGCCAGTAGACCACTGGACCACTGGACCACTGGACCACTGGACCACTGGACCACTGGACTGCGCTGGACCACTGGACCGCACTGGACCACTGGACCACTGGACCACTGGACCACTGGACCGCCACTGGACCACTGGACCGCACTGAACCGCACTGGACTAGTGGGCCACTGGACCAGCCAATAGACCACTGGACCACTGGACCACTGGACCACTGGACCGCACTGGACCAGTGGACCAGTGGACCAGTGGACCAGTGGACCACAGTGGATCACAGTGGACCACAGTGGACCACAGTGGACTACAGTGGACCACAGTGGACCAGTGGACCAGTGGACCAGTGGACCAGTGGCCAGTAAACCGCCTCTATCAAACGGTTGCATAGCAATTGGATCCGTCAGATCGCCGCCTTGCAATCTGCCAGCCAGATGGAGCATCTACATGAATCTGATCTGTGGAAAATATGGCTCCTGCAGATCTCAGCTGTCAGGTGTACCGCCCCTGCAGATCTCACCTGTCAGGTGTTCCCAGCAGTTGGCGCGCCACAGGCACGGCTCCGTAGCACGCCCCCACGAGCTGCAACAGGGGGGTTGCATGGGATGGGGGGAGGAACGGCGGGTGAGTGGGATGATGGGGTATGAGGGGGGTGAGTGGGATGGGGGGGCATGGGGATGTGAGAAAATGGAGAATGCAAAGGTGAGTGGGATGGGGGGAGGAGCGAAGGGTGAGTGGGACAGGGTCAAGGTTTCTTTGACCACCAGGGGACAGGTAGAGAGGGCACTCACTGGCAGCTGGGAGGACGGGTCTCTGAGAGGCGGGCAGAGCAGCACGTGCGCTGCTGCCACTGTGAGGTGCGCCAAGCTGTCCTCATACGCTATCTCCAGCCGCACGTTGGGGTCCTGGGATGGGGGAGGAGGTGGGGAGAGAGGGGGGAGGAGGGGGGGAGAGAGGGGATTGGTGACTCTTGAGTCGACACGGAGTCACCCTCAGATGGGCCAAGGCGTCCTCGTGCACTATCTCCATTCCACCCGCGCGTTGGGGCCCTGACGAGAGGGAGACACGGGGCAGGGTGAGGGGAGCGGGGCGGGATTCCACTGAGTCCACTTAGGTGTCACTGTGCGGTGCGCCAAGGCGTCCTCATACACTATCTCCACCTGCGCAGTGGCGACCTGACGCGGGTCAGAGAGGCTGGATGATGGATAAGTGGGGCTTGAGGACTCAGAAGGCACCTCAAATGAGCCCACGCTGTCCGCGCACACTAACTCCAGCCGCGCATCTCCAGGTTATGATGAGAGGGAGGCATGGAGGAAGGAGAGGGGAGCGAGATGATTACTGAGTCACTCACTATCGAGGGTGTGTTCAGCGATTCAGAAATGAGGGAGGGATCACAAACCTCCACCCTTCCACCCTCTCCCCCGCTTCCTCTCGCCTCTCTTTCTTCCAACCACTCATTTCAATTTCGTAGTCCCACCTGCTGCCATCTCACCTCCTTTCTTCTCACTTCCTGCCCCCCTCACCTGCTGCCCCCCTCACCTGCTGCCCTCTCTGCAGTTCCTCAAGGGCCATCTGCACTTTGGGCGACCGCGCTGCCCCCACCAGAACAAACTGCGGGGGGGAGGGAGTGCAGGGAAGAGGGGTTGCAGAGAAGAGGGAGTGTTGATCAATGCAGTTCGAGTGAAAATTGCAATTTGGGCGACATTGCTGCTCCAACCAGAACGAGTGGTTCTCCAGTGGTTTGCCACCAGAACGAGTAGTTTCCCACTGGTTAGCTACCACCCCAAGTGGTTGTCCAGTGGTTTGCCACCATCCCGAGTGGTTCTCCACTGGTTTGCTTCCACCCTGAGTGGATTTCCACTGGTTTGCCACCACCCCGAGTGCTTTTCCACAGGTTTGCCACCAACCCGAGTGGTTCTCCACTGGTCTGCTACCACCTTGAGTGGTTCTCCACTGGTTTGCCACCACCCCGAGTGGTTTTCCACTGGTTTGCCACCACCCCGAGTAGTTCTCCACTGGTTTGCTTCCACCCCGAGTGATTTCCCACCTATGTTGGAAAATACGCGTACTGCGTTTTATACGCTAGCGTATATACGCTTGCGTATATACGCTATACGCTTGGATTTGGGGTCCAATACGGCAGGAATACGCATGCCCGGGCAGGAAAAAAGGTTTGCCCGGGCAGGGTAACAAAACCAGGGGGCAGCAAGGAAGCCATGATGGTAGCGGCTAGGCTAGGGTTTCTGAAAACGTGACTCTCAAATGAGAGGCATTTTCTGAGGGGTCGAATTTTGACCTGCCAATTCCCTCCCTTTCACCGCACTCAACCCCCCCGTCTACAAAGTCAAATTGGCTTCCAGCCAACCAACTCCCTCCCTTTCACCGCACTGAACTCCCACCCATCTACAAACTCCAACCTTTCCTCACAAATGCTCGACTCTCCCCCCCATCATCTCCCCCATCACTTTGGTAGAAGACTAACAAGCACCGTAACTCGCGCAATCGCCGCCACCTAGCTAAGCACACCACCGTTTCGCTTCAGAGCTGAGATTTGGACGGAAATGGGGAACGGCAAACACGGGATGGCTTTCAATCACGTACAGAGCAGGCTGGGCTATGGGCAAAAAAGAATTGGCGAAAAAACCGCGACGTCGCGAAGTCGCGGAAAAAAAAAATATAAGTTTTTTTTTTCGCCGGGCAGCCCGGGTATCGCGTATCGCGTATTCCAAGCGTATCAGCGTATTGCGTATATTCGCAAGCGTATATACGCAATACGCAAAGCCTTCTGTGCGTATATTCCAACATAGTTTCCCACTAGTTTGCCACCACCCCAAGTGGTTCTCCACTGGTTTGCCACCACCCCGAGTGGTTCTCCACTGGTTTGCCACCACCCCGAGTGGTTCTCCACTGGTTTGCCACCACCCCGAGTAGTTCTCCACTGGTTTGCTTCCACCCCGAGTGATTTCCCACTAGTTTGCCACCACCCCGAGTGGTTCTCCACTGGTTTGCCACCACCCCGAGTGGTTCTCCACTGGTTTGCCACCACCCCGAGTGGTTTTCCACTGGTTTGCCACCACCCCGAGTAGTTCTCCACTGGTTTGCTTCCACCCCGAGTGATTTCCCACTAGTTTGCCACCACCCCGAGTGGTTCTCCACTGGTTTGCCACCACCCCGAGTGGTTCTCCACTGGTTTGCCACCACCATGAGTGGTTTCTCACTGGTTTGCCACCACCATGAGTGGTTTCTCACTGGTTTGCCACCACCATGAGTGGTTCTCCACTGGTTTGCCACCACCCCGAGTGGTTCTCCACTGGTTTGCCACCACCATGAGTGGTTTCTCACCAGCACATGCCAGCACATGCCAGCACCTGCCAGCACCTGCCAGGACCAGCCAGGACCTGCCAGCACCTCCCAGCAGCTGCCAGCAGCTGCCAGCAATTGCCAGCAACTTCCAGCACCTGCCAACACCTGCCAGCACTTGCCAGCACCTGCCAGCAACTGCCAGCAGCTGCCAGCAACTGCCAGCAGCTGCCAGCAACTGCCAGCAGCTGCCAGCAACTGCCAGCACCTGCCAGCAACTTCCAGCACCTGCCAGCAGCTGCCAGCACCTCCCAGCAGCTGCCAGGACCTGCCAACACCTCCCAGCACTTGCCAGCACCTGCCAGCAACTGCCAGCAGCTGCCAGCAACTGCCAGCAGCTGCCAGCAACTGCCAGCAGCTGCCAGCAACTTCCAGCACCTGCCAGCAGCTGCCAGCAGCTGCCAGCACCTCCCAGCAGCTGCCAGGACCTGCCAACACCTCCCAGCACTTGCCAGCACCTGCCAGCAACTGCCAGCAACTGCCAGCACCTGCTAGCAGCTGCCAGGACCTGCCAGCAGTGCCAGCAGCTGCCAGCAACTTCCAGCACCTGCCAGCAGCTGCCAGCAGCTGCCAGCAGCTGCCGACAAGATCGAGATAGAGGACCCCCGACTGCCCAACCACCTCCCAGCAGCTGCCAGCAGCTGCCAGCAATTGCCAGCAACTGCCAGCACCTGCCAGCAACTGCCAGCACCTGCCAGCAGCTGCCAGCACCGGTATGGCAGCGGAGGAGGTGGTACGGCCTACGGCTGCAATGCCGCAGGGACCCTCGCCTTCCTCCGCCTCTGCACCGAGATGGCAGCCAAGAAGCAGTTCCACGCCTCCCCCACTTCCCGGGAAACAGCCAAGCTTTTTCATACCTACCGCCAGTGCTGGTCCGCCGCCCTGCAGAGGGGGCAGGCCGTGGCTCTCAGCAACAAGAGCAACCAGGCTCTCCCTGCTGATGTGTGGCCCGTTGAGGGACCCTCAGAGCCCATGGACCTCAGCACCCTACTACATGCCCTTCAACCCGAGTCTAGTTTTGAGGCGCCTCAAAACTAGAGCCCATGGACCTCGGCACCCTACTACATGCCCTTGAACCGAGGGGGAGCTCCCCTAGAGGAGGGGGGGGGGGGGGTGCTTGCTTGCTAGTCTAGGATAAGTTGGTTGTCTCTTGCTGTGTCTCTCTCTTAATTAATAAAGGACCCTCCACCATGTGTGACTTCTCACTGGTCTGCCACCACCATGAGTGGCTTCTCACTGGTCTGCCACCATCATGAGTGGCTTCTCACTGGTCTGCCACCATCATGAGTGGCTTCTCACTGGTCTGCCACCACCATGAGTGGCTTCTCACTGGTCTGCCACCATCATGAGTGGCTTCTCACTGGTCTGCCACCACCATGAGTGGCTTCTCACTGGTCTGCCACCACCATGAGTGGCTTCTCACTGGTCTGCCACCATCATGAGTGGCTTCTCACTGGTCTGCCACCACCATGAGTGGCTTCTCACTGGTCTGCCACCATCATGAGTGGCTTCTCACTGGTCTGCCACCACCATGAGTGGCTTCTCACTGGTCTGCCACCATCATGAGTGGCTTCTCACTGGTCTGCCACCACCATGAGTGGCTTCTCACTGAGCCTTACAGGCGAGCGAGCAGCTGAGGGCGCCATAAAATGAGCTCCTCGTCCGCCTCGCCTATCTGCGGCGCCACATACGCCACCGCACCACGGGCTGCTCTTGCCCTCACACCGAGCATTGCTCAGGCCCCTACGCACCTGAGCCTGGTAGGCCAGCGCGCAGCTGAGGGCGCCGCGGATGAGGTCCATATCTGCCTCGCCTATCTGCGGCGACACATACGCCACCACGGGCCGCTCCTGCCCCGATGCCGAGTCAATCACCGGCAGCCCCATCCGCCTCCGAAACTCCGCCCGAGCCACAGCCTTGGCAGGCATGGGGTCCGAGGCTGCGATCGGCACGGGAAGGGCGAGGTCCCGGGCCGGGTCCCAGATGGTTTGGTCCAGGCCGGACGGCAGCCCGACGAACTTTTGGCTGCATGCAATAGAGACGGGTGAGGGTGGGGTGGGGTGGCACGGGATGAAGAATATGGAGATATGGTAAGGACGGGCCCACCATGAAACACGGGAGAACGCAAGATCAGAAAACCGAGAGGCGCCAAACGAGAGAAGAAAAGTCAAGCAAGCAGACGCGAGACTGGAAGGGGCATCCAACTATGGATGGGTGCCCCCCACCTGTGGCGGCGCGGGCTGAAGCGTCAAGGGCAGGGGCTCCCACCTGTGAGTACACCTTTGAAGGCGCGGGCTGAGCTGGCAAGTGCGGGAGGTCCCACCTGTGGATGGCGACAGTGGCGTCGAGGGTGCAGCCGTACTCGCGCGACTTCATGTCGCTGGCATACATGGGCGAGACCGTGGTGACCTTGTTGGAATACACTATGCCGCCCTGTAAGGAGAATATAGGGATGGGGAGGGGAGGCACAAGGGGGGTGACGGGACATTGGGGCGAGGGAACCTTGCAAGGGGCGTGCTGATGTGTCTTCATGGTGCTGGCATACATGGGCGATACTGACTGAGGCCACCTTGTTGGACTAGACTATGCCACCCTTCGGAGGTGAGGATGCAGGGAGGCGGAGGGAAGGATAAGGGAGATGGAAGGACACTGAAATTGGCCGACGAATCCTGCACGGGGGGTGCTCGCGTGCCTTCATGTGGGTGGCATTATGGCATACATGAGCGAGACAGGGGTCACCTTGTTGGAGTGCACAGTGCCAATGAAGGGAGAGAGAGATTGGAAAACGCGGACGGTTACCCCATGGCGCAAGTGGTGCCAGGGGTTGCAGAATGCGGAACCGAGAGGGAGGGAGTAGAGAGAGGAAGAAAGTACGACGGGAAAGCTCGACGATAATCACGAAGGGAAAATCACGAAGGTGAAGGCACGACAGGGAAAGTACGACAGGGAAAGTACGACAGGAAAGTATGACAGGAAAGTGCAGCAGGAAAGTACGGCAGAAAAAGTGCGACGGGAAAGTAGGGCTAGAAAGTACGGCAGGAAAGTACGGCAGGAAAGTACAACGAGAAAGTACGACGTGAAAGCAGGGCTAGAAAGTACGGCTAGAAAGTACGACGGGAATGTAGGGCTAGAAAGTACGATGGGAAAGTAGGGCAGGAAAGTAGGGCAGGAAAGTACGACGGGAAGGTACGGCAGGAAAGTACGACGGGAAAATACGACGAGAAAGTACGACGGGAAAGTACGATGGGAAAGTACGGCAGGAAAGTACAGCAGGAAAGTACGACGGGAAAGTACGGCAGGAACGTACGACGAGAAAGTACGACGCGAAAGTACGGCAGGAAAGTACGACAGGAAAGTACGACGGGAAAGCAAGGCAGGAAAGTACGGCAGGAAAGTACGGCAGGAAAGTACGGCAGGAAAGTACGGCAGGAAAGTACGACGGGAAAGTACGACGAGAAAGTACGACGTGAAAGCAGGGCTAGAAAGTACGGCTAGAAAGTACGACGGGAATGTAGGGCTAGAAAGTACGATGGGAAAGTAGGGCAGGAAAGTACGGCAGGAAAGTACGACGGGAAGGTACGGCAGGAAAGTACGACGGGAAAATACGACGAGAAAGTACGACGGGAAAGTACAGCAGGAAAGTACGAGGGGAAAGTATGGCAGGAAAGAACGGCGCGAAAGTACGGCAGGAAAGTACGATGAGAAAGTGCGATGGGAAAGTACCGCAGGAAAGTACGACGGGAAAGTAAGATGGGAAAGTACGGCAGGAAAGTACAGCAGGAAAGTACGACGGGAAAGTATGGCAGGAAAGTACGGCAGGAAAGTACGGCAGGAAAGTACGGCAGGAAAGTACGACGGGAAAGTACGACGGGAAAGTACGACGGGAAAGTACGACGGGAAAGTACAACGGGAAAGTACGGCAGGAAAGAACGGCGGGAAAGTACGGCAGAAAAGTACCAGGGGGCGTGAACGGCAGGAAAGTACGACGGGAAAGTACAACGGGAAAAGTACGGCAGGAAAGTGCAACAGGAAAGTACGTCGGGAAGTACGACGGGCTGCTGATGTCACCTTTAGGAGGTTCATGAGGCCTGCTGACGTCACCTTCAGGAGGTTCATGGGGCCTGCTGACGTCACCTTTAGGAGGTTCACGATGGCTGCTGACGTCACCTTTAGGAGGTTCACGAGGGCGGGGTCGCGGTTGTCCTGCAGCCTGTCGGGTCGGTTGAGCTGCGAGGGGTCCAGCCCCACCAGCGACAGCTTGGAAGCTGGCTGGGCGTTCTGTGAATGATGGGGTGGGAGGGAGGGCATGGGGGGTGGGAGGGAGGGCATGGGGGGTGGGAGGGAGGGCATGGGGGGTGGGAGGGAGGGTATGGGGGGTGGGAGGGAGGGCATGGAGCAGCGTGGGGTGAAGGGGAGAGGGAGTGGGGGGCAAAGAACATCACTGGTCAGCTGCGAGGGTCCAGCCCACCAGAGACAGCTTGCTGGGTGGCTGGGCGTTCTGCAAATGATGGGATGGCATGGGGAGCAGAAGAGTAAAACTGTGAGGGGCCCAGCCCCACCAGACACATCTTTGCTGGGTCTTCTGCAGGCGATAGGAGAACACAGGGGGGAAGGCAGGGGGTGAGGTGGTGGGGAGTGAGCAACAAGCAGTACGATTCAGCTGCGAGGAGCCCCAGCCCAACAGAGACAGCTTGCTGGCTGAGAGCTCTCAGAAGAGACCGCTACTGCTCGCCAAAGCATGGACAGACGGCCCACTCGCCACTGTGCCAACACCCGCTGCCAAGCAGCAAGAAAGTGGTGTTCCCACCTGGTAGCGTGCGTCATGGCAGGTGAAGAGGATGCGAGTGTTGGGCATGCCCTGCCCAGCGTGAGGAGTCTATTTTTGAGGCGCCTCAAGAATAGACTCCTCAAGGATGCGAGTGTTGGGCATGCCCTGCCCAGGTGGTGGTACATGTCCCAGAACAGCTGCGCCTCACCACCGAGGTGTCGTTTGATACCAACCATCACTACCTGATGCAGCACCGGCAGTACCTGGTAGCGCGCGTCGTGGCAGGTGAAGAGGATGCGTGTATCGGGCATGCCCTGGTGGTGGTAGATGTCCCAGAAGAGCGGCGCAGCGATGGCCGTGTGCCAGTTGTGCAGATGCAGCACGTCCGGCTGCTTGCCCTGCTGCTGCAGATACTCCAGGGCCGCTCGGGTGAAGTAGGTGAAGCTGCAGGGAGCAGGGGGGGAGAGGGGGGGGGGGGGGGGGGGAGAGGCAGGGCAGAACAGAGGGGTGTTGAGAGGCGTCTTGAGATCACATGCAGCACGTCCGGCTGCTTGCCCTGCTGCTGCAGGTACTCCAGAGCAGCGCGGGTAAAGTAGGTGAAGCTCCAGGGGGAGGAGGTGGGGGAGAGGGGAGGGGGATGGTTGGAGGGTGGACAGGACAGGCGGGCAAGCTACACGCCCTGCTGCTACGCAACTTAGTTACAGCATCAAAAATAGCTTCTGGTTTTGGTGGACAACCAGGCAAATAAACATCCAGTGGAATTAATTTATCTACCCAGGGCTGTGTGAGGGTGACGAGGGTGAGGCTGAATGGTGGAAGATAAGAGGAGAGCGGAGCATAGGCGAAGCAGGTCAGTGGTCACTTGTCTGAAAGCAGTTCAGAGGCAAGAATAGGCATTCTGGACGTCACAGCATAGCAAGCCCACTGACCCTTCAAAGTCACCCTCCTAGTCGTAGAGCTGGTCCGTGGCTCGCTGAGTGGCAAGAGGCGCGGATATGGGAGCCCACTGACCCCTCAAAGACACTATCAAAGTGCAAGGTGTTTCTGTGGTCCAGTGCTCTCCGCTCAAAGTTGCTCTCACTGCTGAAAGTAACGGTGGGCTACTGACCGTTCAAAGTCATCCTCGTAGTCGTAGAGCTGGTCCCGCTGGAAGAAGGCAGCCGGGTGCAGCGGGTGGATGAACGTCACTGGCACCCCGTGCACCGTGCTGCAGGGGGAGACAGGCAGACAAGCAGGCAGGCATGCATTAGAAAGCACAGAATTATTGATGGTGTGGTGTGGTCTGGAAATACACCAGCTTATTCAGGGTAACTTGTCAAGCAACTTTGCCACTCACCCAGTGTAGATCTTATTCTTGTGCCACTTCCCATCAAAGAAGGACATTATCTCGCCTGGCGCCTCCCTGAAGGCCTCTATGGCACTCGTGTCCAGACTCGAGTAGCTGAGGGGCATGGGGGGATGTCAAACGGTGTGGAGGGGTATGGAGGGGCATGGAGGGTTGTGCAGGAGTTGGTTAACTAAGGGGGTTAGTGAACGGCACGAGGCATGCTGCCCGGTGCCTCTCTGAAGGCCTCTACGGCACTTCTGTCCAGACTGGAGTAGCTCGGGCGCATGGGGGAGGGGGCGGAGGGGAGCGAGGGAATTGAGAATGGAGAAAAGGGCACGCCGCCACTCCATGCAAGGACTCACGACTCTCTCTTGTCAATCCTCTCTCGTGCTCTCCTGGATACACATACCTTGCAGAAGTATTGCAACTCCCATCGCAACTCCACTTTCTTACCACCGCAAGCATGAGTCTCTGCACGGCTCACTCACAGCGGCAGAACGACCTCCACCAGGTGGCCCTTCCTCCTGAGCGCGCAGCACAGCCCCGCCATCCACGTGGCCAGCGAGCCCGCCTGGGCCACTGGGGCCAGCTCCGTGCACAGATGCACCACGTGCAGGGTCCTGAGGGGGGGGAGGGGAGGGGAGGAGGGGAGGGCATCTGAAGACAATGCAGTGAACTCAGTACGCTCCAGATTGGACAGCTCCGTGCACAGGTGCACCACGTGCAGGGTCCTGAGGGAGGGAGGGAGGGAGGGAGGGGGGGGAAGGGTTGGGGGTTGGGTTGGGGGAGTGAGCTCGGAATCGACACAGCAGTGGCAAGTGAACAAGTGGGGCCTTCCCCTTCCCTCACCCCGTTCCCTTCCCCTCACCCTCTCCCGTTTCCCTTGCCCCCTCTCCTTTCCCTCACCTTCTCCCTTTCCCTTCAATCCCTCCCCTTCCCCTCACCTCCTCACCTCACCCTCACCCTCTCCCCTCCCCCGCACCTCCCCCCCCTTCCCCTTTCCCTCCTCAACCCCTCCCCTCCCCCGCACCTCCTGCTGCCATCGATGAGTCCCAGCAGCGGCCGCACCACCTGCCCATCCTCCAGCGCCTCCACGTCAGCGTACACGTCAGCAGCCCGGGCGTCCCTGGCGGCAGCGAGTCCTCTGAGCGCCTGTGCATGCCCCTCGTTGATGGCCTTAGAGAGCAGCAGCCCGTCCACGCGCAGCAGCAGGCGACTCCACACGGATGACGGGTCTGACGTCTTGCTGCCTGATGCGCCTGCTGCTGCACTGGTAGTGATGCTGATGTTGCTACTGCTGGGCGCTGCACGCAGAGGGCAGTGGGGGGGGAAGGACGGTAAAGGGGAAGGGAAGGCGCAACAGTGGCATCAAATGGCTCGGGGGTTGGGCCAGGAGGCGGATGGGCCAGCAGGCGGATGGGCCAGCAGGCGGATGTGTATGGGCCGGCAGGCAGATGGGCCAGCAGGCGGATGGGTCGGCAGGCGGATGGGCTGGCAGCAGGCGGATGGGCCGGCAGCAGGCGGATGGGCCAGGCGGTTGGGCCAGGCGGTTGGGCCAGGCGGTTGGGCGGTTTTGAACCCAAGACCTTTCCCTTCCATGAGCCTTTCTTTGCCCACTAGGACACCGAGTGAGGAAAACTATAATTTAGGGTATTATAATCCTTCCGTCTTGAAGGGACGCCTCAATCCCATTGCCATTGGCATCATTGCCATGATTGCCATTGCCATTGCCATTGATGTGGCGCTCACGCTTTGTCTTGTTGACGTGGCAGTTACGCTTTGTCTTGTGAATATGGTAGTGCGCCACAAACTCATGCACGAGGATCTGCTCCTGCATGCCGCTCTCCAATTCCATGTCAAAGCAGTACCCCAGCAGCCGCACCACAGGCGCTCCTCCAGCACCTCCCTTTAGTTTTTACTCCCTGGGTCTGATCGACTAGACCTCAGTTCTCACCTGCACCCACCCTCACCTGCACCTACCCTCACCTGCACCTACCCTCACCTGCACCTAACCTCACCTGCACCTACCCTCACCTGCACCTACCCTCACCTGCGCCCACCCTCACCTGCACCTACCCTCACCTGCGCCCACCCTCACCTGCGGCGACCCCCAGGTCCGCGGCCCTGAGGCGCTCCTCCAGCAGCTCCCGCTGCGCCTCGCCCGCCTCCGCCTCCGCCTGCAGCTGCGCCACCCGCGCCGCCAGGTACTCGCGCTCCTGCTCCGCCTTGTGCAGCTCGTCCAGCGCTATCAGGCGCTGCTTGTTCAGGTACAGCATGTCTGGGGGGGGGGGGGGGGGGGGAAGGGAGGGGAGAGTTTGGGGAGGGGAGAGTGAGGGAGGGGAGAGTGAGGGAGGGGAGGTAGGGGAGACTGGGGGGGAACAAAACACTCCAGCGATAACAGGCGCTGCTTGTTCAGGTACAGCATGTCTGGGGGAGAGAGGAGGAGGAGGAGGGGGAGGAGGAGGAGAGGGAGGAGGAGGAGGAGGAGGAGGAGGAGGAGGAGGAGGAGGAGGAGGAGGAGGAGGAGGAGGAGGAGGAGGAGGAGGAGGAGGAGGAGGAGGAGGAGGAGGGACTGTGACGAGGGAATGGATGTGGTCAGTTGGCCGATGCTGGCACAACACACGCTGCGCTGGCTGGCGATATGGAATAGGCGTGGGAGGCACGCAAATAACGTCGGCATTTTCCTTAGCAGCAGGCAGGGCGATCCAACGGCGTACGACGTACTCTGTTGAGCGTCGTTGAAGAGCTTCATCATGTCGCCGCCTGAAGGCTTGCCTGACGAGTTCGGCGAAACCTGCGAAAGGGTTACCGATCGTTAGACGACCTATTAGGCCAACCCAGATGAATGTTGCGTGGACGTAAGCAGCATTGCACGGGACCAACATTGCGACGCAACGGCATTGCATTACACGACGAATCCTTACTTTGAGTCCATCCAGCTCATTGGCTTGGCTGCGAGTGGGAGAAACCAGGTAAAACGGACCGAAGGGGAAATCCCGAGTATTTATCGAAAGTGAATGACGGCAACAGGACTGGAGTTTCGTAGTGGCTGTCAAAGCGGCCCTATCAAAGCAGATCTTAATATGCAAAAGCCAGTGAAACTAATCTACTAATAGACAAAACCCTAGCACCAATGCAATCGCTACCTTGGATCAGCAGCGCTTCTGACGGATAAAGCTCGTCTGCCGGCCGGAGCAGGGAATCGGAAAGTACGAGATCGAGAAAGCGAGCCGTGAGGGTCGTGCCGTTTAACGGAAGCAGCCCGTGGTAGACCGAGGTACGGCTCTAATCTCGCTTCGAGGTTTCTGACGGACAGATCTGACGCGCACGCGCGCGGCATTGCCGCTGGACGCATGAGCTGCGCCATGGCGCGCCGAACCCAGGTGACTTTCGACTCAAAAGTAACCAGGAAACAACTTGTCGCGAAGAGGAATGCCACGCGACAGGACTGGGATCAGCACGGAAAGGTGATGATTAGGTTGATCCTACAGGGACGGCCGCGGCAATGATGCCAGCAGGAGCAGCAAAGCAGGACCTAGCTCCGAGGAACAAGCCGCTGTGTGTCAGGTCAGGTCTCAGTTGTCAGGAATAACAAGCTCCCAAGGTGCATGTTGCCAGAAAAATGGCCAAGGGGGAATGAGGTGATAGTGTAGTGTAGGGCGGGAAAGGGGTGGGATGGGATGGAGAGGGAGGAGGATGACTGCTGCTGCGCGCCAGCAGATCCCAGATTTGTTCTTCTCGCCTCGATCGCCAACTTTCTTCGCAAGCCCCGACTGGTAACCTTTCGCCGCCTGTCTTTCCCAGTTCAAAGGGATCTTTGGCTTTTCGCTACACGTGGCGTACCATCCACGTACCAGGCCACAGATATGGCAGATGCGCACGACACCTGAGAGCTATCGCCCACAACCTCGGCTCGTTTCGCGAATCGTCGCTGCCGTTCGTCAGCCACACGAAACCACACATTGGCGAAAGCAAAAAGTGAGTGGTGGAACCTCCGCCGTTCATTTCTCACTTGGCACTAACTAGCACGGAAAATACCGAGTGTTGCGAGAAATTTATCGTGGCGAATATCATACGAAAAGCACCCTCACCAGAGCGAAGCGGGAGCGACAGTCGCGACACGCAAGAGTGACTCAGCGAAGCGAATGCACCAGGACGCACAGGGCCGACCTTCAAGCCCTAGGGATTGTACCACCACGGCTGCGAGTGCGGAAAAAAAGCTCAAGCCTAGCGGGTGGGTACTGGTGGATTGTGTGGCACAAAACTCGTGCATATGAAAGGCGTGGAAAAGCGTGTGCGTTGTGTTAGGGATGTTCCTGAGCGTCTGCAACCAGGCTGACCCTGTCGAGTAGAATCCGCACCTGACGACCTGGAGGCTGTACGTGATCGGCTAGCGCAAGGAGCAGCCGCTTCCAGGGTTTCACGCGACCGGTTGGACTCTTAGCTCTGAGTCTCCGCGTGACCGTTGGGTCCTTCCTGCTTCAAGTGGGAAGTTAACTTTTGAGTCGACTAAAAAGTCCCTCGCCATGGCGGGTGTCTTACGGCAGGGACAATTCTCTCCTTGCGTATCGACCGACATTACTCAGCCAAAGTCGTCGCGGTGTAGCGCGTTGGTCCCTTCGTGCGAGCCATTGCGAGCTACCGCCAACGTTCCGGCACTAGCGCAGTCGCTGTCCAGAGCACAGAGGCCGCGTCACTCAAGCAGGCGGAGTCTCTTCCCGGCTCTGCCCCATCGACAATTCGCTACCAGGTGTGCTGCCCTCCCTAGGCGGAGGAAATACTATGTTTAAGCTGCGTGAAGCGCTTTGGCATCTCTTTGTCTTCGCTCGCTCAGCTTTACTCCGCTTCTCGTTACCGAAGCACTCCTTGCAAGTCTCGTCGCCTTACGCCTTCCCGCTAGAGCTTTCATGCATTCGTGCACCCTGCTTTGCGTGAGGAGTCTTACCGTGCACGAATGCATTCATGCATTCGTGCACTCAAAAATAGACGCCTTACCGCCAGAGCTTTCATGCATTCGTGCACCCTGCTTTGCCACCCTTCCCAGGAGGACGCCCAGCAGCAGCATCAGGCTTCAGGTAATTTCCTGGTAATAGTGACGTCACTGGTAGCAGATACCTTTTTTCGTTAGAAGGCGAACAGTCGGCTCTCATTTTACTGACAGGTCGGAATGACCTTGAGCGAGCTTCGACCTTTTCGAGTCTTCCTCTCGTGCTTTTCCTCAGCGCGTATCCTGTCCGAACCATTGTCCGACTCACTGCTTCTCGACGGCTCTTGCAGGTGGTCGCCGTGGGGTCTGCCGTCTCCGCAGACGTCTCCAACGGCGCCGTGCGCGACGCCCAGCCGAGTATGCGCACAATCGAATCTATTGAAACGTACACCAGCCGTTTCTCATTCGCCGCACACCACAGCATGCAGGCCGTACCCTAAAAGACACCTGATCTCATGTTCTTCCCTGCTATCCACGTCAGGGAGCGCGTTGCCCGCGTCAGCATGGGCGGCAGTGACGGAGGACGTGGCGGTGGGATCACTGGCGACCACTGCCAGCCCGGCGGCCGTGCAGGCGCTCGTGAGGGACACGGGGGTCACGGCTGTCGTCAGTCTCGAGGTATGCTTTCCAGCCAGGCGTTGGAACCCCAACGCAGCAGCAGCAGGAGCAGCAGCAAGCTCTTGCAGGTGGCGGTGGTGGGGTGCCACTGCCTTCCATGCCAGGGCAGCATGTTCTTGGCTGAGATGCACCCTGTGGGACGTGTAGCTCCCATGCACGTCAGCTACTCTACTCTCCCCCCCTGTGGTCAGATACGTGCTTGATTCGATGTCAGCCACATTTGTGCCTGCTTGCGTGTGTGGGGGGGTTGCAGGAGGAGGGCAGCTACAGTGCGCGGGGCACAGGGTGGGAGGAGGAGAAGCAGCTCCTGCAGGAGGCGGGGCTGGTGGCCGTGTGGGTCCCCATTCGAGAGAGCGACAGTGCAGAGCAGGTGGGCGGTGTGGGATGGGATGGTTGTGGTACTCATGAGGAGGTGTGAGGTATTCGAGATACTTGGTTGGTGAGGACGTGGGAGAGTTGAGTTGTCGTATTCAGATGGAAACGTGAGAGGGTGCGAAAGACTGGAGGCCAGTTGAGTGGTTGGATCGCAGGTCACGCTCTCGTTCGAGCAACATGTAGAAGAACCAGACCAGGGACGTGCAAAGGAGCGGCAGGCAGAGGGTATGCGACAGCCTTCCGTTCATCCCATGCCACATCCTTCCTCTCCTCCCAATCCTGTGCTTCCCCTCACCGTGCAGGCAGTGATGCTACCACAGGCGGTGCGGGTGGTGGCAGCGCTGTCAGCCATGGGCCACAGAGTGCTCCTGCGCTGCCCCTCTGCCGTCCGACTCTCCCCCCTCGTCGCCCTCGGGTGAGCCGCTTGATCACTGCGAGTCACGGCGTCGCTTTCCTGCTGCTGCTATTTTTAGCGCCAGTTGGTGCTATGGACTGTTCCTGTCTCATCGGTGAGGAGTCTATTTTTGAGGCGCCTCAAAAATAGACTCCTCGAGTTCGTGCTATGGACTCTTCCTGTCTCATCGCCTCAGCCCACTCCATGGCGCACAGCCATGGTGCTGCCATCCCGTCTATCCTGTGCGCCGCATGCCTTGCATGTTGCAATGCCTCAGAGTCCGGTCCCTCTCTCTCTCCTCTGTGCCTGTGTGTCCCATGCGTCGTGTGTGTGGCAGCTACCTGGTGCTGGCCCAGGGCATGTCGATCAGCGACGCCCTGACGCTACTGAAGCACAGCAAGCCCAACGCCGACCCCCCCGCCAACGTGTTGATTGAGGTGCGGCTGTCTCCTCCCGCTCCCTCACCTCACACATGCGAGGTGCAACCACGCACACCCAATGCGGACACGCCCGCCCTTCTTCCCTGATTTCATGTATCCTGTTAGTGGGTGTAGCAGGACCATCCACGGATTACTCCTCTCCACTCCTCTCCACTCCCCATTTTCCCCCCCTTTCCCATTTTTTCCCCTCCCTCTCTCTGTGCGTCCCTCCCTCTGCCAGGCGCGGGAGCGGCTGCTAGCGGGCATGACGTCGCGGGTGATAACAATAGCAGAGGCCATCTACCACACACGCTGCACCACGGGGCAGCATGGCGACTCGCAGTCCGACTGGGCAGTGCGTGCCTCTCCCTCTCTGCCCTGCTGCTCTCACTGGGCCACATTGATGCGTGCCGGGCGGGCTGCCCCATGCGTACTTTTTTTTATGCGTGAAGCTGCCACGTTGCGCATCATGCCATGCATGTTGTCAGTCGCGTTCTCTCTAGAGGTCGCGCTGTTGTGTCTCGAATTGAGGCGCCTCAAAACTCGCGCTGTTGTGTCTCGAATGAACCATGGAGCTGCCGTGTGCTGCAAAGCCGCCATCTCTCTGTGAGAAACTCAAGTGATGATTGTATTAGGAAAAGAGTGGGTATACATAGGTGAGGAGTAGGAGGGAGGGGGGGGGGTTTTGGTTGGGAGGTGACCACGATTATTGGTGACCCCAATAAGTTGAGTTGGCCAACTTATTGGGGGTCCAATGATCCTAGCCAAGATTATTGGTGGGTCCAATAATCTTGGTTGGGATTATTGGGGGTTCCAATAATTGGGAGCCCAACCAATTTGGGAACCCAACAAGGTTGGGAACCCAACCCCCAACTTGGGTGTATACACCCTAGTGGGGTGCTTATAAGTACCTAAGACAATGAAACGATGTAGGCTAATAGAATGAAGGGAGAATATTCTAACACTCTCCTCCTCTTTCTCCCCCTCCTCAAATTGCATCCCCCCCCTAACAGCAAGCCCAGGAGCAGTGCTCCAGGGAGGTCTTTGACAAGTGGCTGCTGGCTGACGTCAGCTTTGCCCGCTCTGTTGCTCAGGTGGGCATGCTCTGTTGCTCAGGTGGGCACTTTCCCATTGTGAACGGTTGCACGTTAGCACCTTGGCTTATCGTCTGTGTCTGTGCGCTCTAAACTCCATCACCCCTCATCCCGACTCACTCCACGCTACCTCTCCTATTCTTCCTGCCCCTCCGTGTTCCCCTCCTCCCTCACGTCCCTTCCCCCAGTCCGCGGAGCACCAGGTGAGATCCAAGGCACAAGAGGCAGAGGCTGCAGCGGCGGCAGTGGCAGGACGAGCAGCGGAGCAAGAGGAGGGCGAGAGTGCAGCAGGCTCCTTGAAAGGCCTCTTCGATCCTTCCTCCTGGCTGCCTAAGCCAGACGGCAGCACTGACAGCAGTGACAGTAGCGGTGACAGCAGCAGCAGTGGCGGTACAAGCAACGGTGACAGCACTGTAAGCAGCGGTCTTGATGTTACCACGGGCACGGGCCTTCCCTCCCTCCCGCCTGACTCTCCTCCCGAGCTCCATGCAGCCAATGCCAGGGTGGAAGCCCTCTCCGTTAAGTTGGCAGAGGCGCGCGATTGGCTCGCTGAGCTGGAGGCGTCCAGCAGCCAGGTCATGGCTGACGTGGCGTCACGGACGGCTGAGATCGAAGCTCTCAAACGCAGGGAAGCCCTTTGGGAGGAGGAGCTGGAGGCAGCAAAGGTGAAGGAAACGGCCATGAGGGAGCGGCTGAGGGTGAAGCAGACAGGAGGGGTGCAGCAGGTGCGTGCATGGGGGGAGGTGGAGGAGGAAATCGCAGCCCTGAAAGCCAAGGTGGCTGAAGACGACGAGAGGAACGCAGAGGCAGAGAGGGCGATAGGGGAGCTCAGGGCGCAAGTGGAGGAGGCCAAGGGGCAGCTGAAGAAGGAACGAGCAGCAGCAGAGGAGGCGGAGGGGAGGGTTGCCGAGGCAAACGAGAGAGTGAGGGAGGAGGTGGAGCGTGTGGCGCGCGCGCAGGCGGCAGCGCAGGTGGCAGCGGAAGAGCGGAGAGCTGTGGTGCAGGAGCTGGCGGTGGTGCGCACGGCGAGGAAGGAGGAGGCAGCGCGGGTGGCGGCGGCGAGGATAGAGCAGCTGGGGAGGGAGGCGGGGGAGCTGGTGGAGAGGCTTAAGGAGGCAGAGAGTGTGAGCCTGGCAGCGGACAGCCGTGCTGGGGCGCTGGAAGGACAGGTGAGACGAGGAAGGGGGGGATGGGAGCGAAGGGCAGGGCAGGCGGGGGAGCTTGCAGAGAGGAGCACCCACACATATCCCTTGCCCACATATCCCTTGCCCACACATCCCTTGCCCACATATCCCTTGCCCACACATCCCTTGCCCACACATCCCTTGCCCACATATCCCTTGCCCACATATCCCTTGCCCACACATCCCTCCCCACATATCCCTTGCCCACATATCCCTTGCCCACACATCCCTTGCCCACACATCCCTTGCCCACATATCCCTTGCCCACACATCCCTTGCCCACATATCCCTCGCCCACATATCCCTTGCCCACACATCCCTTACCCACATATCCCTTGCCCACATATCCCTTGCCCACATATCCCTTGCCCACACATCCCTTGCCCACATATCCCTTGCCCACATATCCCTTGCCCACATATCCCTTGCCCACATATCCCTTGCCCACATATCCCTTGCACACATATCCCTTGCCTACATATCCCTTGCCCACACATCCCTTGCCCACATATCCCTTGCCCACATATCCCCTGCCCACATATCCCTTGCCCACATATCCCTTGCCCACACATCCCTTGCCCACACATCCCTTGCCCACACAACCCTTGCCCACACATATCCCATGGTTTGTTTGTAGTGCAAGGCTCATTGTCATGCATTGCTCTCCCCTTCCCCACTCCCCTCTCTCCCCACTCTCCCCTCTCCCCACTACCCTTTCTCCCCTCTCCCTTTCCCCTCTCCGGATGGCAGTGCTCGCCCCGCGCACGGCAGCAGCGCAGCGATGGGCGAGTTGGGCAACGAGCCGTGTGCCGCTCCTGAGCGGGCGGTCCAACACGCTGGAGATGGGCGATGGGTGCAGCTGAGGCCACCCGCGGGGCCGCACCTTGGGCAACATTGACCCTCAAAGTTATATTTCCACCTCTTCCCCCCTTCTTATCTAGATGGCGGTGCTCGTCTCGCGCACGGCAGCAGCGCAGCAGCGAGCAAACGCCGCAGCAAGCCGGGTGACGTTTCTGAGCGGGCGGTTCAACACGCTGGAGATGGGCGCAGCAGAGGCCACGCGCAGGGCAGAGCGGGTGGAGAGGGAGGTGGGGTTCCTGAGGGACAGGGACGCCAAGGCGGCTGCTGCGGTGGCTGCCAACACCGACACTATCAGTCGATTGTCCCAGGAGGTGAGAGATGGGGGATTGGGATTGAGACCACGCGCAGAGTGGAGCGGGTGGAGAGGGAGGTGGGGCACCTAGCAGGAGAGAGACACTGAGACGGCTGCTGCTGTGGCTGCTAATGCTGACGCCTTCAGCCGACTGACCCAGGAGGTAGGGACAGGAGGAGGACAGGTGTGGGGGTGGGGGGAGGGCGGAGCGGGTGGACAGGGAAGTGACGCACCTGCGGGAGAGGGACAGGGAGAGGGACGCACGGGTAATTGCTGCTATGGCTGCTAACACAGACGCTATCAGCTGGTTGTCTCAGGAGGGGAGAGATGGGAGGGGAGAATGGGGGGAGGAGGCACAGTGGGGTGTGGCGAGCGCAAAGGGCAGCAGAGCTTGCTTCCATGATGGGGGGTGAGGCGAACCAAGCGCGGCGAGAAACAGAGCTGTCAGCGCTGATGGCACCAGCTCGTACTAGCTCGTACTAGCTCGTACTAGCTCGTACTGGCTCGTAATAGCTCGTAATAGCCCGTACTAACCCGTACTAGCCCGTACTAGCCCGTACTAGCCCGTTCTAGCCCGTACTAGCGCATACTAGCCCGTACTAGCTCGTACTAGCTAGCTCGTACTTGCTCGTACTAGCCCGTACTAGCCCGTACTAGCTCGTACTAGCTAGCTCGTACTAGCCCGTACTAGCTCGTACTAGCTCGTACTAGCCCGTACTAGCCCGTACTAGCTCTTTCTAGCCCGTACTAGCTCGTACTAGCTCGTACTAGCTCGTACTAGCTGATACTAGCTCGTACTAGCTCGTACTAGCCCGTACTAGCTCGAACTAGCTCGTACTAGCCCGTACTAGGTCCCGTACTAGCTCGTACTAGCCCGTACTAGCTCGTACTAGCTCGTACTAGCCCGTACTAGCCCGTACTAGCTCTTTCTAGCCCGTACTAGCTCGTACTAGCTCGTACTAGCTCGTACTAGCCTGTACTAGCCCATACTAGCCCGTACTAGCCCGTACTAGCTCGTACTAGCCCGTACTAGCTCGCACTAGCTCTTACTAGCTCGTACTAGCTCGTACTAATGCCCACCTCGCTGTTTTTTCTTCTACCGCCTCCTCCCGGCTTCTCTCCATCTTGCACGGCGCACACCCCGCCCCTCCAGGCAATGCACCTCAAGGAGAGTGAGGCGCTTCACACCCAGCGAGAAGCAGACCTCTCGGCACAGCTGCCAGCAGCGCAGCAGCAGGGGGAGGAGCTTAAAGCCCAGGCGGCAGCGTTCTCCATGCAGGTGGCAGCCATGGCACGCCAGGTCACCCGGCTGAAAGCTGAGCTAGACTGGGTGGACCGGCAGGGGAGGAGCAGCAAGGGAGAGGGCGGCGAGGAGGAGGGGGAGGAGCATTCCCTGAGAGCTCTCCCAGCTCTCTCCCTGGACTCGGACGCCACTGCTCTCGCACCGCTCGCTGCGGCAATAGACACGGCGCACGGCATGGCAGCTGCAGTTGGCGTGGAGATAGGGGGGCAGGGGGGAGAGGGGCGGGGGGCGAACGGGGAGTGGGTGAGGTGGGAGCTGGGCGTGCAGTCGGCGGCGGTGGCGGCTGAGAGCGAGCTGGAGGGGCAGATGGAAGAGGTGGAGGACCCCATCGAGCTGCTCAAGTGAGTTTCAGTCTACAACTTGTGGGCGCACGTGTGCTGGGGCCGGGGATGTGGCCTTTATCCTGTTACCTATCCTTCCACCCGCCCCCTCACCAAGGCACCCACCCATCCTCCATTAACCCACACAGTGTTCCCGTTACCTGCTAGTGCTGCCAGCGGTGCTAGTCCCTCAACCATCACGTCCATTCCTCTGTCACGCACCCATCCCTCACCCCCTGCCCAGGCTACTAATGGACCGAGTCTCAGAGGAAACCGCGGCCATCACACACCGCAGCTCGCACCTGGTGGCGGAAACCCAGCAGCTGAGGCAGGCCCTGGACGCGCAGCTGGCCACTTTGGACCAGAGCACGCTCATCGATGGGCGGCCGCTGAGGGAGGTGGTGGAGGAGGTGGAGGCAGAGGCGGAGCAGCAGCGCGAGGAGGTGGTGCAACGGGCAAGGGTGCTGCAGTGGGCGCTGGGCGGGTCACTAGCCCTGGCGGTGGTGGCGCCCCTGGCTGTGTACAACGGGTACTACTCCGAGGCAGCCCGCTCCAACCAGGTCAGCTGAGTCACCAGTTCATCCTTCTCTCACTTTTCCTTGCTGCTTCTTCCCTGCGTGAGGAGTCTATTTTTGAGGCGCCTCAAAAATTGGCTTGCTGCTCTCCCACCTTCCGCTCCACCGTGAGTACCCCTCTCTGTGGCAGCTGGACACAACCACAAAGGTCGTCAGCAGCCTTGGATCAGCTAAGAGAAACATGCACCACCATTCCTCCTTTCCTACCCTTCCTCCATTCCTCCTTTGCACCACCATTCCTCCTTTCCTACCCTTCCTCTCTCACCTCCTCCCACCGTCCCCTGCAGATTAGCCCTCTTTTCCGAGCTGGACGCAGCCACACAGGCCACCAGGGACCTGGAGCAGCTCGCACAGGAGACATCCTTTCCCCCTTGATCTTACTGTTCCTACGTCCCCCTTTTCGCGCGCCTTTCCTCCGCAGATCAAAACCCTCGTTTCCGAGCTGGACGCCGCCACACAGGCCACCAGGGACCTGGAGCAGCTCGCACAGGAGACGGAGGCAGACAGTGTGGAGGCCATGGCGCGGCTACGTGCCATGGAGGCAGAGGTGGAGGCGCAGCGCAATGCCGTTACGCGGTTACAATCCCTCGTCCCTCTCGTTGCCCCCTCCGTGGAATCTGATGAAGCTGCCCAGTTTTGCCGGTACGTGCCCGAGGAGTATCAGTCACCAATCACGGAGCAGATTTGCGACGGGCTGAGGCAGAGTGGGAAGGTGGAGGCGAAGAGGGGTGATAGGCCCGCAAGAAGCAATGGGGCGGCACAAGAAGGGCGGTTTGTGTTCAATAACCCGTTTAATCTTGGCTGGAGGCGGTGAGAGCCCCCATGGGCTAATCCTTGGTGCTTTTTGTGGAAGAAGGGCAAGGGGGTACAGCGAGCTAGTACCTCTTCCACCCCCTTATCAATCCATTCACTTATCCATCCCTCTCGTATTGCATGTCAGATCTCTCTTTTAGTGTTATTAATATTACATATTAGATTTGTTGAGCATCATGCTCTTGCCACTGCCACCATGTACAGTAGCAGCCGCCAGGCCCACTGTTACCGCCAGGGAAATGCCCTGAGACCCTGGTTTCCAGGCTGTGGCTTTGTGTTGTACCCTAAATCTCTTGCTGTAGTTTGCCCTGCTGTAGTTTGCCCTGCTGTAGTTTGCCCTGCTGTAGTTTGCCCTGCTGTCTCAGTGACACCATACCTGTTTGCCCTGGCCCACGGCGGTACCAGAATCAGCGCATGCTCCCAGGACCTCTGATCAGACGGAAATGACGAATGCACACCTCTCACCCTCCTGGTGTTGCATTTGTGACAAGTTTGCATGACAACATTCCAGCACATGTAACAAATTGTTAATAACAATGCATACATTACATCACGACCGCACATCAGGTACACGCTGAGCCAGCAGCACTGGACTATTATTCAGTACCAAGGGAGGGAGGGCCGGCACCAACGAGCCATCCGGTCCAAAGAGTCACAGCTTCAAGTTCATCCCCTTGCACCGGATGGTTCACCACCACCACCATTGAACCACCATCGAAACACCAACCACCCACCAACCAACCATCCCCTGCGTGCACACTCATGGCCAACCAACCAACCACTCATGGCCTCAGATCTGACATCCGCTGCCACGGCTGCTGAGCCGACAGCAATCCGCGCTGACAGGTCAGCAAGGTGCCACGTCAGCACGGCATCATGGGGCGGTCGTGGCAGAGGGAGGGGCGGGCAGCGAGTCGAGGTACTGCAGGAGGTGCTGATTGGACGAGGCGGACAGCGCCAGGTCATCGTGCATCTGAGTCAGCGCGCGCGCCAGCGCCTGCATGGGCGGCCTCAACGCGGCCCGCCCTGGCGTGCCAGGCGGCAGGGCGAGCGCCTTGCCGTGCTGCAGGACGATCTCCTGTGGTGTGGGGTTAGTGGTGTGAGGGTGGTGATGTGGGGGGGTTTAGGAAACGCATACAGGAGAGGAAGGCATACAGGAGAGGGGGGGGGTCATCACAAGCACGTGCCTGCAGGCAGGGCGAGTGCCTTGAAGAGCTGCAATACAATCTCCAGTGGTTGGACTAAAACCGAGTGAGGGGTTGGTGGGAAGGGGAAAGGTCATGGTGCATGTGAGTCCGTGCCACATGCAATTCTCGCTCCCATCCTCCATCACTCCGTCACTCCCACTACCATTCCCCTTTTCCCCTCTGTCCCCCCAACCCTCCTCCCCCTCCCCTTCCCCTCCCCTCTCACCTTGCACCACAGCAGCACGTATTCCAGCTCAGGCCATCCCTCCAGCAGTGCAGCCACGGCCCCCACCCATTTCCCTATATACTACCTCACCTCACTAGCATAACCCCGAACCATACAGCCCCCCCCCCCCTCTCTCACCTTGCACCACAGCAGCACGTATTCCAGCTCAGGCCGTCCCTCCAGCAGTGCAGCCACGGCCCCCACCACCTTCCCCAGCCGCTTCCTCGGCAGCGCCGACACTGTAGCGCCCAGCCGCTCGGGCGGCACCGCCATCATTGCGTCCTGTAGCAGGTTCGTCTCATTCAACCGCAGAGCCATCTGTATCGCCCTCGCGTGCAGCCCAGCGGCTGTAGCGGCCGCTACAGCCGCGGGCGTCACATCCATGTCAAGATCAGACGGGTCGAACACAATCCCTTCGTCCAGGCCAAAAACGACAAGCCCCTCGGTTGTCGCTGCCGCCCAGGACTGCCCGGTCGGCGAGAACTGGATTGCCTTGACCCGGATCTCCGGGCGGCTTTGGCTGCCGTTCCTGGCCGCCCCGGGGAGGTCGGCGCCGAGCAGCGCGTGGCGGCGCTGGCGGTGCGAGTCATCGAGGTCGTTGTCGTCGATGTCGGAGTCGCTTATATCGAGGATGTCGAGCGGGCCGGCGTCCGTCATGCGGTGCGGGTTGAGTGAGTCCATGGCGCCCGACAGGGACTTGTTGCTGGTGATGAGGAAGCGCCGCAGCAGCAGCTGATGGTGAAGGAAGGAGGGCGTGGGGGGAAGAAGGAAGAGGGTTGAGAATGGCAATGGGCCGTGGGGTATACTACGTCATGCGGTGCCGATCTAGGGAGTCCATGGTCCCTGACAGGGACTTGTTGCTGGTGCTGAGGAAGCAACGCAACAGCAACTGGTAAGAGGAGGGAAGGGGTGGGGGTTAAGAGAAGAGGGAAGAGAGAGAAAGACGCAGGAAAAGGGTCTCTGCCACATGGTTGAGGGCACCCATGGTGCCTGACAGGGACTTGTTGCTGGTGATGAGGAAGCGACAGGGGGGGGGTTGGGAGGGGAAACGAGCAAGGGAAGGGGGGATGGAGAGGCGATGAGTGCAGGCAGAGCAATGCGAAAGACTTTGGAAAAACGAATGGGTTCAAATGAAGGAGAATCAAGAGAACATCCCACCCCACCCCACCTTACACCCCAAACCACACCCCTCCCACCCACCCCTCGCTCACCATCTCGGCCACGTCATAGAGGCACACATATCGGCTCGTCCCCGCCGCCAGCAAGAAGCACCCATCCGCGGAGTAGCACAAGCTCCTGAAGCTCTTATCCCCCAGCCGCAGCGCCCCCCTCCCGCCCTTCCCCTTCTTCCCCCCGGCAGCGTCCACCCCCCCCACCAGGTCCCTGCGCCCCTCGATGCTGCCCTGCAGCTCGCCCTCCTGCGGGTCCCACAGGTGGATGTGCCCATCCAGCGTGGCAGTCGCCAGCTGCCGGCCGTCCGGGCGGAATGCAAGCGCGAGCACCTCGTGGGAGTGGGGAAGGGGCTCTGTGCTGCCCTTGGACTCGAACACGTCCCACAGGCGGCACGTGCTGTCCCACGCTGCAGATGCTAGGAGCTCCTGTGTGAGTTAGAAAGAGGGTGGAGGGGAGGGTGAGAGGGTGTGAGGGGCGGCCAGAGCGAGCACCCCGTTGGAGTGGGGGAGGGGCTCTGTGCTGCCCTTGGACTCGAAAACGCCCCACAGGCGGCACGTGCTGTCCCACGCTGCTGATGCTAGTAGTTCCTGTGGGGATGAGAGGGAGGAAGAGGTGTGGTGGGTGGGTGGAGATAGCAAACGCGAGCACCTCGTGCAAGTGCAGGAGGAGCTGGGTGCCTCAAAGCCATCCCGCCTCCAGGAAGGCGCACACACACACCCCACCAACAAGGGCGCTCACTTGGGTGGGCGAGAAAGTAAGGCTGTGCACGGGCCCCTCGTGGCCTGATAGCACGTCCAGCAGCCTGCCCGTGCGCATGCTCCACACGTACACCTGGAAGTCGTCCTGGCTCGCAGCGCACACCACCTCGCCCGACGGGTGCACGGCCAGCGACGCAAACTGCACAGGCTGCGGCGTGGTGAGCGTGCGGAAGCACCGGTACCGCAAGAGGTCAAACGCCCTGACCGTCCCGTCCAGAGACGCGCTCAGCACCGCTCCCCCACCCCCTCCGCCCCCCGCTCCCCCCGCCGCTGCTGCCGCAGCAGACCCCGCGCCGGACGGGAGGAAGGCTACAGCGGTAACCGGACCGGTGTGCTCCGAGAGGGTTACAAAGCAGAACCCCGACGCCAGGCTCCACACCTTCACCTTGGCGTCATCCGACCCGGTTACCACACGAGTCCCATCCGGGGAGAACGCAACGCAGCTGACGTCGTAGAAGTGGCCCTGCACCTTCATAACGTAGGTCTCTGACCGCCACTCCCAGACCAGCAGCTGCCCTAGACGAGCGCAGCCCACCGCCACCCAGTCCCCAGACTCGTTGAAAGAGACGGAGGAGATCTTGGTGCGCGAGATGGACATGAGGTGCAGGGTGGTGAATTCGGGCAGCTGGTAAAGACCGAAGATGCCCGAGGAGAAGCCGGCGACGAGGAGATTGGAGGGCTTGTGCAGGTCGCAGGAGGTGAGGCGCGCCTTGGGCAGCATGAAGAAATGCTTCGCCTCCAGGCGCCACTTGCCCTCGTCCAACCGGAACTCGCGACGGGCGCGGATGGGAGCAGGTGCGGGCGTCCGTGCTGCCAGCTTTGATCTCTTCCTCGCCTGCTCCTCCTCCTCTTGCTCCTCCTCCTCCTCCTCCTCCTCCTCCTCCTCCTCCTCCTCCTCCTCTTCTTCCTCGTCTCCCTCCTCTTCTGCTTCCTCCTCCCCCTCCTTCTCCTCCTCATCTCCCTGCTCGTCCCCCTCCTTGCCCTCACCCGTCTCCTCCTCCTCCTCCTCCTCCTTCTCCTCCTCCTCCTCTTCATCCTCTTCCTCCTCTTCTTCCTCCTCCTCTCCTTCCTCCTCTTCTCTCTCCTCCTCTTTCTCCTCTTCCTCCTCTTCCTCCTCTTCCCTATTTTCTCCATTCTCTGCCTCTCCTCTCCCCTCCTCTTCATCATCCCCATCCTCCCCCCCATCGTCTACCACCTCCCCCCCTTCCCCCCCCTTAGACCTCCTATAAACCCTGTCCCCATTCTTCTCCCCCCTCCTCCGCCCATTCTTCCTAGCTCTCCGCCGCACCTTGTTAAGCGGGTCGAAGAACCACGAGAACAGCGCGCCGTCTTTAGACAGAGTGTAAATCCGAAGCGCCTTTTCCGCCCCCCCAGGCCCTTCCCCCACCCCCCCCGAACCCCCCCTTAAACCCAGCGCCACATCCGCGCGCTTGAAGTTGGGCCCCGCGCCAGTCATAATCGCGGAGCCCCCTCCATAGAAGAACGCGCCTACAATCACATCCTTGTGCCCCGCCAGGCGCACCGGCTTGTACATCTTTAGGGAATCTAAAGAGTAAATCCTGGCCGTCAGATCTTTGTTAGCGGCCACGATCCACTTTCCGTCGGGGGACCAATCAATCGCCGTCACCTTGTCGTAGCCTCCCGAGAACGACTTGAACAGTCGCATGGGCGAAAAGGTTTTCCGCATCTCCGGCGTGTGCCATATCTGGAGTTGTCGCCCAACCCCTGCTGCGAAGAATTTTCCGTCCGGGCTGAATTTTAGGGCACCCACGGGGAACTTGAATCTGAAAAGATGGAGCACTACGCGCCGATGCACGTTGACCATTCTGGACCGTCCATCTGAATCGACGGCTATGAGGAGGTTGCCGTCCGGCGATAGCGCGATGAGCGACACGTCAGTCATCGTCTGAAACGGAAGCGTGTTGGACTCTGACGCCGTCAAGTCGACGACGTTGACGCGGTTACCAACTGGCGAATAGAGCTTCGTGTCTTCGCGAAGGAGGATGTTACCTCCTCGGTACGGCGCACCGAGGAGGTTCTTAAAGCGGTAATTCATGTTGGCGTGCCCAATGCTTGACGAGGAGGTAAGCACGGAGCGGCTAGTTAGGGGGGTAAGCGAAACTACAGACCTACAGGAGGTGCCTAGAAGTCTTGCTGGCTAGACTGCAGGAACAGAAACTACAACTCTGCTCTGCTCTGTGGGGAAAACCCTAAAACACGGATTGGATTTCCGCGCTTGTGGATGCGTCGAATAAAAATATGACCAGCTTATAATATGTAACACTATCTACAGAATCTATTTGGAATGGAGCTATCTTCGACTTAAAGCGAGGGTCTCAAGAAGCAGAAAACCAAATCCAAAGGTTTTGGTTTTGGGTTGACGAACTTTGCGAAACAGTTACAACGCCCAACCAGCACCCCTCATCGCACCTCGCAATTGCCGAGACCCCCCAAAACCAAAACCTTTGGGTTTGGTTTTTTGCTTCTTGAGACCCTCGCTTTAAGCTCTTTTTATGTAAGCTCTATTGGTGGCAAAATTATCACCTAACGCTCCAAAAAATATATATTAGGGATTCCTCCCATGTATGTGTCCCAATAGAATAATTTTTATTGCTAATCAAATGCATTCATTTACTTGTATAGCAATATGACAAAAACTTGATACATACACTAGTTGCACTCATCTACAACACTACATGATCTTGCCCATTGCAACAGGGTTGCTTGCCACCCTCTAATTCATGTGACCTGACCATGTCCAAGCCGATGCAATTGGCATGGCATGGAGTCACAGGGCGTGCAAGCCTCTGAGTTGGCGATGCCTCAAACATGGCATGGCCTCAAAAGGCATGAACGCCCCGACCCGACACATCCAAGCTCACGATTGGGGCCATGTGCACCCCATCAGCACCATGCGCACCCCATCAGCACCATGTGCACCCCATCAACACCATGCTCCTCGTTTCATCTCCTTCTTCCCATCACCTCACCCACCTCCTACCACACTTTTTGCACCCCTTTGCTGGGCCTCGCTCAAATTGCCAGTGGCTCACATGTTCATCAAGCGAACGAGGTGGGACAAGCCAGTGGCCAGAGTCCAGAGTCCAGAGTCCAAGTCCAGAGTTTAGAGTCCATAGTGTTAAATTATATTTTAGTATATAATTGTAGGCTTGGTAGTGGTTACTGAACATTTTTGTAGAGGGTACAACACCCCTCTTTGTATCCCTCTCTCTTCTTTCCTAATTCATTTTTCTCTTGTCAAACTTCTCGCCTATCTCCTAGCTGAACCTCGCCGCCATTGTCATGGCGTCCTAGTCCCTACTTCAAGACACGGTTTCAGAGCAGGACGCCCGTCCTGGGCCTGCTCCCCTCCTCGCTTCCGCTGCGTTCTCGTTCCCTGTTCGCCGCTGTCCCGGCCTTCCTACTGCCTGCCGTCGTGACACCTTTTCCAAGATGCCGCGGCGGCCTTTGTGTGCTGTCGTCCCAGTGTTGATGAGTAGCCGCGGCTCCGACGCCACGCTGTGGTGGCGTCGTTGTGGTGCCGCGGCCGTGACGTCGGCCTGTTGCCGTCGCGTCCGACCTGCGTCGCTGCTGGAATTACAGCCCGCCCGCATGCCAGTAAGCGCCGCGCCTGCAATCCAGAGTCCAGAGTCCAGAGTCCAGAGTCTAGAGTCCGGAGTCCGAGTCCAGAGTCTAGAGTCCGGAGTCAGAGTCCAGAGTCCAGAGTCCAGAGTCCGAGTCCAGAGTCCAGCGTCCAGAGTCCGAGTCCAGAGTCCAGAGTCCAGAGTCCGAGTCCAGTGTCCAGAGTCCGAGTCCAGAGTCCAGAGTCCGAGTCCAGAGTCCGAGTCCAGAGTCCAGAGTCCAGAGTCCAGAGTCCAGTGTCCAGAGTCCGAGTCCAGTGTCCAGAGTCCGAGTCCAGTGTCCAGAGTCCGAGTCCAGAGTCCAGAGTCCAGAGTCCAGAGTCCAGAGTCCAGAGTCTAGAGTCCGAGTCCAGAGTGTGAGTCCAGAGTCCAGAGTCTAGAGTCCGGAGTCCGAGTCTAGAGTCCAGAGTCCGAGTCCAGAGTCCGAGTCCAGAGTCCAGAGTCCAGAGTCTAGAGTCCGGAGTCCGAGTCCAGAGTCTTGAGTCCGGAGTCAGAGTCCAGAGTCCAGAGTCCAGAGTCCAGAGTCCAGAGTCCAGAGTCCAGAGTCCGGAGTCCGAGTCCAGAGTCCAGCGTCCAGAGTCCGAGTCCAGAGTCCAGAGTCCAGAGTCCAGAGTCCGAGTCCAGAGTCTGAGTCCAAAGTCCAGAGTCTAGAGTCCGGAGTCCGAGTCCAGAGTCCAGAGTCCGGAGTCCAAGTCCAGTGTCCAGAGTCCGAGTCCAGAGTCCAGAGTCCGAGTCCAGAGTCCGAGTCCAGAGTCCAGAGTCCAGAGTCCAGAGTCCGAGTCCAGAGTCCGAGTCCAGAGTCCAGAGTCCAGGTCTAGAGTCCAAATCCGGAGTCCATTGTCCGAGTCCAGAGTCCAGAAACCGAGTCCACAGTCTAGAGTCCGGAGTCCGAGTCCAGAGTCTAGAGTCCGGAGTCCGAGTCCAGTGTCCAGAGTCCGAGTCCAGAGTCCAGAGTCCGAGTCCAGAGTCCGAGTCCAGAGTCCGAGTCCAGAGTCCAGAGTCCAGAGTCCAGAGTCCAAGTCCAGAGTCTAGAGTCCAGAGTCCAGGTCTAGAGTCCAAATCCGTAGTCCATTGTCCGAGTCCAAAGTCCAGAGTCTAGAGTGCAGAGTCCAGAGTCCGAGTCCAGAGTCCGAGGCCAGAGTCCAGGTCCAGAGTCCAGAGGCCAGAGTCCGAGTCCAGAGTCCGAGTACAGAGTCCAGAGTCCAGAGTCCTGGTCCAGAGTCCAGAGTCCAGAGTCCAGAGTCCCATACAAACTGAAAATTCTGCACGAGTAGGAACAATGCTGGCGAGCTGGTCCCAACACAGCTCCAACAGTACTGCTGCCAAATTTTATGTACAGTAAATCCGATACTGCTGTTTTTGATTTGGATGGCGAGGCGGGGTCATATACACACAGTCGGACGAATCAGGCGAATTGATGATGGAGGCGGTAGCAGGTGGTGGCGAGAAGAAGACGACGGTTGCGAATACCTGTAACCTGTACTGAACCACTCGGGTAGAAAACCTCGAACAGAACCCAGGATCGACTGACGCCAGTTGCATAAGCTTCTTTGTCCGTACACGCCGAAATATTCAGGAAGAGACGAAACAGCTACTGCTCTCCCTCCGCTCCATGTACCCACAATACTCCGCAAAATTCAGTCGATGTTGCTCGTACCCCCCATGATAGTGAGTACTGCTCTAGCTGTAAAAACCTTGGATTGCCTCTACTTCTTTGCACCAGTGAAAAATTCGGAACTCCATCGATACTTAACCAAGACTGCAACACTGCTTCACCGCTACTCGGTCATCATGGCGTCCTTTAGTAGCGCCCCCACGGTTTCTCCACTAGCTGTATGCATGAACTGAATCCTTTATGTTAGGGAACATCAGAGTCCACGACCTCGGCATGATGTTTTGGCCGTCGATTAGGGTCAATGCGCATCATACACCATCGATCTCCGCCCTGCTGTTACCCAAAATTATTCAAAATACCCTGGTACCCCTGCTAGCTGGTCGTGCAGACGTTCACCCATCTCGCGGCTGCTGCAAGTTACCCAAATGCGCTTCGCTGGTGCTTAACTAACTAAGAGAATCCGCAGAGATAGGAGTGCGCACGCTTCTAGTCAGAGAAGCTTTAACGAGCTCGTTACTGACTGCTGGACACCTCCCTCCTCCGTCGGAAACTTGTCGAACTAAACACCCGCAAAAGTCGGGAACTCCTTTTTGCTTCACCAGGTGAAACCCTCGGCTTCGCTGCAACAGTAACTCCTAAAATTTCGGGGACACTCCATCAGCACAGTGTAGTTCGTTGGTTAACCCCCCTTATTCAGAGCGAAACCGACGATTAATAAGTCGACACTGCTACTTGGTGGGAATGGTGATTTCTGGGCGACGTAGCTGAGCGAGCAGCAGCCTGAACGCCGCTAACCCTTCAGTGCTCCAGTACTCCCGTTGTTCTTCTTCCACTGCTTCAATTCCTGGCAGGTAACCCTTTCGGCGACCGGTGGAAAAACACTTAATACACACCCAATGGTGGTGGCCTCCGTTTCTGTTGATCGTGGGGGTATGAATCGCTGGTCCACGAAAAACGGCTCCCCACGCGGGAAGTCGCCCTCGCTGAGTACACTCACTCCAGCACAGCGTCATCACCTCCAAACGGCCTTCGCGGTGAATAGCGTCGAGGTCGTTAATCCCAGTTGCTCCCACACAACTGCACACCCACACGTCCTTGTGCGATCGTGTCGTTCCGAAATTATCGGATCCGCCTATTGCCGAAAACAGTCTTGAAGTCCGTCCATCGCCTGCATCTAGCCTGCCGGAAACGTCGGTACCCGCGACACAGCTATAGTTCACCCTGCTGCTTCATGGCACATCCTGCCATTGTCGCCACCCCGCGCGCTCCTGACGACCAACTCCCGGCCGCCTGAGGACTCTCGTGCACTTGTCTCCTCGTGACGAAGCCTTCGTTTTTTTCGGAAGCCAATTCGAAGACTCCGCCCGAACACCCGAAAATTACGAAAGCTCTAACGAACATACCCGAAAAACACTGCGAAAACGTCGCCATCTCTTAGACCGGAAATAATTCCGTCTACAACCAGGGAAGGGGAGTGTTAAAATTATATAAGTTATAATTTAATACAGGCTTGGTAGGTTGTTACTAAACCTTTTTGTAGAGGGTACAAACCCCTCCTTGTACTCCTTGTGCCTTCCGCTGCGTTCTCGTTCGTCAGTCGTTCCTGCCGTGCCGACGTGGCGGCCATGCCCGTTCCTGTCGTGCCGTCGCGCCGTGACGGGTGGCATCGATGCCACACTGCTGCGACGGCGCCGTGCATACCGTCGCAGCGTCGACGTCCTGCGACGCCGCGCTGTGGCGGCGTCGTAAGGCTGCCGTGGCGGCGTCGTCGGGCGACAGCCGGCCGCGCAACGTCAGTGGCGCCGCTGGACCTGCCGCCCGCTCTACCGCCACCGGCGTGATTATGGACTACGCCGCGCCCCTCCCCCCCCCCCCCCCCCCTCCTCCCCCTCCTTCCCCTGCTTCCCCTGCTTCCCCCCCTTCCTTGCTGCAGCCGACGACTGCCTCATGAGGGCCCTCCCCACCACCGAGGTGACTGGACATGCCGCCGAGAGGGCGGGGGCCGCTGCACCAGCCTCTGACGTTCAAGCCGCCGCTGCCGCCGCTGTTGCCGCGGGCCGGGCGCCGCCGCACGCCGCCGTTGTCGTCAATGTCGCTGCTGCCGCCATTGCCATCCCACGGGCCGTGGGAGCTGCCCATTTCTGGAGTCGTTGCGGCTGCTACTGGGAATGGGGGTGCTGGGCTAGGGGGTGTGGGTGTGGGTGCGGGTGTGGGGGTGTGAGTGGGCTTGACACTACCAAGCCTAGGGGGTGTGTTAAAATTATATAAGTTATAATTTAATATAGGCTTGGTAGGTTGTTACTGAACCTTTCTGTAGAGGGTACAAACCCCTCCTTGTACTCCTCTCTCTTCCTAATCAATTCTCTTTTCTCTCGACACTCTCGTCCACCTCCTAGCTAAACCCCGCCGCCACATTCATGGCGGCCTTGTTCCTTCCTACTGCCTAGTTTAGTTTCTGACAGGGACGACCGGCTAATCCCAGCTGTCCATCGGACAGGATCTGATGGCATCGGCAACGCCCGCGCAATTAATCTACGCGACGTCCGCTCGTCATCAGCAATCTTCCGTCCCCTTCCCGATAGGGTCTGCTCCCCTACCGGAAACCTAATGGGTAGGAACGCAGCTCTGAAACCAGCTATTATGAATTTGGTTATTCAGCCAGAAACCGTCCGCTCGCCCCGAACCCATTTTGATCCCGTCACCCCAGCTATTACCGTATGAATTAGGTTATTCAGCCATTTTGATCCCGTCAAAATGGGTTCGGGGCGACTCGGGATGAGGTTGGGGCCGACAAGGTTGACGGGGGTTGGTTTGGCGCGTGACTTGAGGGCCGAGCCTGTGGACGCGAACTGTTCGCGTGTACTCGCTGTGGCGAGCCCCAGCAAGGAATCGTAATTCCTTACATCCAACCTTTTTTTGTTGTAATGATTGGTTGAATAGAAAACGATATCACTTGCCATGGAATTGAAAAAATAGATTACATGTAGGATTTCTCTATTCTAGGCATGGTGAAAGTTAGCCAGCCATGCACTCAAATGCACAACCAGCTTCGCAAGACAATTGACGTATGATGTATCCTAGTCCAATAAGGGGGTTTCGAGAAAAATGAACTTCATTACCAAAATAGAGTACATACGGTACATGTCGAGATAGAATCAAAGTACAAACCCAACCTACCATAGATCAAATCAACTATTTTACATGGTAATCTTGCTACCAAATCCTGGTCCATGCCTTGGCACGTTGTCCAGTCCAAAGGCATCCATACCCGAGCAGATGCTTCTGCTGCAAGAAGCAGGAGGGGCATTACACCCCGCATGCCCATCCGTTGAGCACCTTGCAGGTTGATCCCATCAGCACCATGCTTGCAGGCATGCATGTACCCATCCATGCCCGCTCCCATGGCTGGGCTGGCAGCTGCAGGAGGCATGCGGCCCACATCACATCACATGATCACCCACCCACACCCACCGCCCTCTTGGCTGGGCTCTCTAGGCTCAAGCACCGCCCCACATGCCATACCATGGGATGATGCACCATGGGATGATGCACCACGCCATGGGATGATGCACCATGGGATGATGCACCATAGGATGACGCACCATGGGATGATGCACCATGGGATGATGCACATGGCTCACCATGGGAAATACACCATACAGCACCAGCAGCATCGCCGTCACTAAAAGCACCAGCACCAGTGAAGTAGTGGAAAGTAGTGCCAGTGGTGGGTTGGTGTGGCAGAGGGAGGGCGGAACCCCCTGCCTGAGTCTCACCTTACCCAATGGGGGGGGGGGGTTCACCACCCCCTGCCACATGGCAGCACTACCAGCACAACTCCCCACCACCACCACCGTCCACCACCACTCCCCACCACCACCGTCCACCACTCCCCACCACCACCGTCCACCACCACTCCCCACCCACCACCACTCCCCACCACCACCTTCCACCACCACTCCCCACCACCACCACCGTCCACCACCACTCCCCACCACCACCGTCCACCACCACTCCTCACCACCACCACCGTCCACCACCACTCCTCACCACCACCACCGTCCACCACCACTCCCCACCCACCACCACTCCCCACCACCACCTTCCACCACCACTCCCCACCACCACCACCGTCCACCACCACTCCCCACCACCACCGTCCACCACCACTCCTCACCACCACCACCGTCCACCACCACTCCTCACCACCACCACCGTCCACCACCACTCCCCACCCTCCACAACATCACCATCACCACAGCAACTTCCCACCACCACCATCTCTCACCACTTTCCCTCACCACCACCACCACTGCACAGCACCACTGGCAGAGCGGCAGGGGCTGTGGCACCAGGTGTGGAGTGGAGATGGTGGTGGTGCTGGTGGGGAGTGGTGATGGGCGGTGAAGGTGAAAGGCTGAGGTGGTAGTGTGGTCTGGCAGAGGGAGGGTGAGAACCCCCTGGGTAAGCTGAGACCCAGGCAGGGGGAGGTTCAGAGTACCAGAGTAAGGCAACTGAGAGGCAAGAGAGAGGGGTTGAAAACCCCAGGTTAAGGCGAGCCTCGGGCAGAGGAGGGGGATTCCCCTGCCCCATGCTCGCATCAACCAGAGGCTTCCAACCCCCCTCCCCCCCCCCTGCCCCTCGCTTGCCTTACCCAGGGTGCTCCAACCCCCTTCCCCTGCCTCGGTCTCAACAGACCCAGGGGGTTCTCACCACCCCTCTGCCACATCCCAGCACCACCACAACCCCCACCTTCACTGCCCATCACCTCTTCCCTCCCACACCACCGCCAGCACCAACACACCACCACCACCCCATCTCGCCATCACCCCTTCTCACCCACACCAACACCAACCCTCCCCACCACCAACAGCACCACCCCTTCCCACCATCACCCCTCCGTGCCACCAACAGCACCACCCCTTCTCACAACCACCCCTCCACGCCACCATCAGCACCACCCCTTCTCACCACCACCCCTCCACGCCACCAACCCCACCAACCCTTCTCACCACCACCCCTCCACACCACCAACCCCACCAACCCTTCTCACCACCACCCCTCCACGCCGCCAACAGCAGCACCCCTTCTCACCACCACCCCTCCACGCCGCCACCACCACCACCCCTTCTCACCACCACCCCTCCACGCCACCAGTAGCACCAGCACGGTCACACACCCACCTCGCCCCACCCACCATCCCCCTTCAACCGCCAGCAGCAGGAGCAGCGTGCAGCACAGGCCCCTTAGAAGCAGCACCGGCAGTACCCATTGCGCTGGAGGCGCCAAGTGAGGCAGGAGGCAAGCACACGGTAAGCCCAAGATCCAATTACCCCTCACCGGCATGGCAAGAGCTGGCACGAGACAGAACCATTCGGCCGCAATGGTTCTGCCATGGGCCCATTATGCATTAACGCGCGGGTATTGCGATTGGACACAGAGTGCTTGACACGTGTCCCTGCACTGCCTCACCCAGCCCCCATTGCGTACAGTACTGAAGGCGCTGCCCCCAGAAGCCTGCACCGCATGCCATCCCCCACCCTGCCCCACCCACCCACCTCCATCCCCTCCCCCACGCCTTCAGCTTACCTCACTTACCACCGCCATGCACAGCCAAGAGATGCAACGCTGCTGGGGGAAGGGAGGGGGGTGGGGGGTGTGAGCGACTCTCCTCTGCTCCCCTTCTTGCTGCAGCGCACCACAGGGTGGGAAGCTGCTGGGGAGATAGAGGGGGGGGGGAGGTTGAGCAAGCTTCCTGTGCTGCTCACCGTGCTCCAGGGCTCCAAGGGGTGGGCAGCTGTGGATGGACGCAGGGAGGAGAAAGAGGAGGGGAATGCCGCCATACCTGCACCTATACCATACCTGCACCTATACCATACCTGTGCCTATACCATACCATACCTGTACCTTGCTCAAATAACGCCCTAGCCCGCCCTCTAACTGCCCTCGCCTATGCTGCTGCCCTGCTGCCCTGTATCCGCTGCTGCTGCTGCTGCCCCACCACTGCTGCTCAGCTACAGGCTCTGCTACAGTCATGCTTGCTGCTGCCAAGTGACCTGCCAGGAGGGGTGGGGAATGGTTGGGGGGGGGGGGGAGGGGGAGGGGAGGGGGAAGGAGAAGTGAGTGGAAGGAAGGGAGAGCCATCCAAGAAAGAACCAGAGAGGGGAGACAACAATTGCAGAGAGGCAAAAGACAAGCATTGAAGCACAAGGAAAGGGGCTTACCTATACGAGCTGAACCGGGCCCATATACTCTCCCTCGCAGCAGAATGCAGTGCTGCTGCTGCTGCTGCGCCGCTCGCAGCTACAGGCTCTGCTGCAGACTTGGATTGCTGCTGCCTGGTTACCTGCCTGGAGGGAGGGGAGGGGGGGTAGGGGGGTGGTGAGGAGGAAGCGAGAAGAGAGAAGCGAGTGCCGGGAAGGAGAGCCAAGTGAAACTAAACCAGAAAGTGAACGAGCAGGTGCTGAAGCAGGGACGACAGGGGCTTACCTTGAACAGCCGAGCCCACCCAGATACTCTCCCTTGCAGCAGGATGCACTGCTGCTGCTACTGCGCCGCTCTCAGCTACAGGTTCTGCTGCAGACTTGGCTTGCTGCTGCCAGGTGGCCTGCCAGGAGGGAGAGGGAGGGGGGTGGGGGTGGGGGGGGGGGTAGGGGGGTGGTGAGGAGGAAGGGAGAAGGGATAAGTGAGTGCAGGGAAGGGAGAAGTGAGTGCAGGGAAGGGAGATCCGATCAAGAAATAAAACCAGAAGCTGAACGAGCAGGCATTGCAGACCAAGGAAAGCGGCTTACCTCGAACAGCTGAGCCCACCCAATTACTCTCCCTTGCCGCACCCCGCAGCGCTCCTCCCAGCCTCCCACATGCGTCCCGTCCCTGCACAGCCACAGGGGAGGGGCGTGAGCGAATGTCGGTGTTGACCCACCCCCTTCCCAGCACCTGCAATGCACATACACGGCAGTGGTGAGTGTGCATGGCATGGCGGCAAGCACAAGCCACGGCCTGGAAACTGCCAAGGCTGGAAGAACAAGGGAGGGGCCACTGGTGGAGCCACGGCCACACGCCACAGACCCCAAGGGAACCTGCACCTGAGGGGGGCTGAACCTGGGGGGAGTGTACCTGCACCTGAGGGGGTTACCTGAAGGGGGGGGGGTCTGTGGCATGTGAGGCGGGCCCAACCAGTGGCATGTGTTTGGAGGTGACAGGTACGAAAGCACAAGCCAGAAACGAAATGACAGCAAATAATGCACAAGACGTGACGCGGCATACGAGATCGAGGGCAGGGAGGAACGGGCACTTAGCTCATGAGTCGTGGCGTGGCGTGAGTGCGAGCAGCAGGCAGCAGAAGCAGCAGCAGGTGCCTCCCCTCCTCGGCAGCCCTCCTCCCAGGCGTCCCGTGTGCGTCCCTGCACGGCCACAGGGGAGGGGCGTGAGGGAATGTCGGTGTTGACCACCACGCCCCTCCCCTCCACCTGCAATGCACACAAGCAGCAGCAGTCAGCGCCATGGCATGCATAGCAAACTAAAGAGAAACCGCAACAGCTGGACAGCAAGTGGAAGGGAGGGGCCACTGGTGGAGGTCGACCACACGCCACAGACCCCCACGGGGACCTGCTGTGGCTGAACCTGAGGGGTCACCTGAGGGGTTACCTGAGGGGTTACCTGAGGGGTTACCTGAGGGGTTACCTGAGGGGATACCTGAGGGGATACCTGAGGGGTTACCTGCACCTGATGGGGTCACCTGAAGAAGGGGATCTGTGAGACGCGAGCCGGGTCTCAACCAGTGGCATAGTTTGAAGGGGAAGCGAAGCAGACGCAACAAATTACTGCTAGGAATGCAACTCAAGTGGGCAGGTAGGAGGGTGAGTTAGCTTACCACAGCAGCAGCATGAGGGAGTTGGACGAGTTGCTGCGAGTGGCATTGAAGGGCCAGCGACCATCTCGGGAGCAGAGCACCGCCCCAGCAATCCTGACGCACTAGCTCCTGCAGGAGGGGAAGAGGGGGACGAGGGGGAAGGCGGGAAGGAGGATTAACTGCAAGGCTAGTGAACAGATGGACGAAACCAGAGAGGGTCAAGTCAACCAACTCTGCAGCGGGAATGACTGGAGAGGGTAAGTGAGGAAAGGGGCTCACCTTCGAAGGCCGACCAAGATTCTCTCCCTGACGGCAGCCCTCCTCCTCCCCGCTTCCCGTGTGTGAATACCTGCACGGCCACAGGGGAGGGGCGTCGGGGGAGAGTCGGTGTTGACCCCCTCGCCCCTCCCCTCCACCTGCAATGCACACAAGCAGCAGCAGTCAGTGGCATGCGACGGCATGGATGGCGACAGGAAAAAGAAGCTGCACAGGCTGGAAGGAAAGGAAGGGATGGCCACTGGTGGAGGCACGACCACACGCCACAGACCCCCACGGGGACCTGCTGTGGCTGAACCTGAGGGGATACCTGAGGGGGTTACCTGCACCTGAGGGGCTACCTGAAGAAGGGGGTTTATGGCCTGTGAGCCGGCCCAACCAGTGGCTTAGTTTGAACGGCGAGTGCATGAGAAGCGGCAAGGAAGTACTGCAAGGAACGCGACGCAAACAACTTGGCGTAGGTAGGAAGGAGGGTACTTAGCTTACCACGACAACAGCAGCTGCACCAGCAGCAGCAGCAGCAGTGAAGGCGCTGGAAGAGCAGGCACGACTGTGATGCCCCGAGCATCCCCCGAGGACGCCTGGCACTTGATCTCCTGCAAGGGAGGGGGTGAGGGGAAGGGGGGGATGCAAGTGGAAACAGAGTGAGTACGACAGCGGATGCTGCACCTGGGGTGAATAGGATATTTGCATAGGTGGTGAAACGGAGGAAGAGCGAAGGGAGGCGCCACTGGTGGAGGCACAGCTACGATCCACAGACACGGAGGCTTGTACCTGGTAGGTACCTGCAGTAGGGGGGGGGGCGGGTACCTGAAGGCTTAACCTGAGGGGGGTGTTTACCTGTAGTAAGGGTGGTCTGTGGGCCGTACACTACGCAGTCACCAGTGGCACCATTTTATGGGAGAAAGCATACGATGCGATGGAAAAAACGACACGGCGTGCAAGGGAGGGTGAGCGGAGGAAGCGACCACTTAGCTGATGGTGTGAGCGAGGCAGCTGAAGGCAGCCGGAGCAGCATGAGGAAGTCGACGCAGCGTCAGGAGCTCGCGCGCTGTCCTACCTCCATTCCCCACCGCTCCTCGAAATTAGCGGCCAAGTGACCTGCCAAGGGGAGCGGGAGAGGAGGGAAGAGGAGGAGAGCGAAGTGAGGCGAGGGGATGGCATCAGAGGCGTGCGCAGCAGCGCTGGTACATGCAGTATGCCTTGGAGCAACGCCAGCGCCTGGTGCATCTTCTGAAGCAGCTCCGACACCTGGGGGAGGGGGGGGGAGGAGGGAGGGGTTCGCCCAAGGCACACATGCAGGAGCGAGCGACAGCGAGGGAGACATCAAGGAGGAGGAGACTGGACGCGTGCGCGCAGCGACGACAACAAGTCTAACCCGCTAGCGACTGAGAACTATGCAAGCGGCTCAAGCACGTGTGCCATGGGCTTCCGGAAAGGAGGGGATGGGAAGGGGGGAGGGACGATGAGCAATCGCCGTGAAAGGCAGAAGTCCACAAAAATGGCGTAAGCAAAAAGTCAGCGCAAAGGCAGGGAGGCGGGTTGACGGATTGGGTCGGGTACTTAGCTGGGCGTGTTTGGTCGGAGTAAAAGCGTGGCGGAAGCGACGGCGTTGGAAGTCGTTGGCTGACGACGCATGCTGAGCGTCGCAGAAGGCTCTGAAATCCCGGCTTGATAAGTTGGCAGAAGGAACGGTTCGCGATGTTTCTGCGCGCACGTGACATGCATCCGTGCAACATGCAACACGAGAGTGGTTAGCACAAGGAAGAAACAAAATCGCAACAGAATATAATAAGTTATAGACGATCAGTTTGAAACGTTTAAGTTGAAGGAGCTTACCGCTTAACGGTCTTCTTAGATGACATTGTCTTGATGCGAGAAAGCATCACGCCATGTCGAAGTAGAGGCCTGACGTGAATGACAGAAACGCAGATTTGCTAAGCGTGCTGCCAAGCTCAACGCCCCTGGGCTTCAGATCTTGGGTTCGATGCAGGTTGAGCAGCAGAAATCAGAACCTGAAATTTGAACAAGAATCATCAGTCAACAGTGGAAGTCTTGGAAAAACATAATATTGCGAGAACGATAAGCGGTTGCTGAAGCTTACCATATGAATCGGCTTCCGCGACTATGGATAGGCATCTTTCGGTTGGAAGAGACGAGAGTCAAGTTGACGAAGCGGAGACGCGAAGCACAACGACGCAGCAGCCGCAAGCGGAGTCGTCGGACGGAAAATGAGCCGAATTGAGGCAAAATGCCGAGGATGGGAGAAATTGTAGTCTCGCGAGGGGCATTCTTCGGCTGGAAATGTTGGAAATGAGAAATTGGAATGAGGCGAAATGCCTTTCTTTGGGACTCAAACCCCACTACCAAGGGGGTGGGGGATGCGGAAACAACAGGCTCACTATTTCGTGGACGAAAATCGTCCAAGAAAACACCCCGTTCGACTTGGGAAATGGAGGGAGGGATGTAGGACCGTCGGATCTATCTCAAGCAGATCGCGTCATACGGTCTAGATTGGAGTAAGCAGTTGAATGGACGACGTTAAAGCTCGCCCGTTTCGCACCCAATCAGCGTGAGTCCCGCTCGAAATTCGTGAAAACTTAATGGCTTCCCGCTCGAGGAATAGACGTTGAGCTTTGGACGACGGACGGAGGGATCTAGGGCCGTTGGATCTCTTCAAAACGATTTGATAAACGCCTCAGATCTGCTAACAACAATTCGTTGCACTTTGACGGTGGTTCGCCTCAACGACCGTTAGCTTTCACGATAAGGGAGCGCTGGCTACCATTGGATCAGATAGGAGATCTAGATCTGAACGGTGCCAGATTGCGCCAAATGAGCTCAACCAGGTCTGAGATCTGAAGGGAGTTGGCCGGTTTGGCGAAGACTTCTCAGCTGAGGAGGTTTGCGATAGCTTTGACGAAACTTCTCTTCAAGTGAGCTCTTGCCATGGAGGCGAGTTGGTTGGCGAAAACGGATCTTCAACCAGCGTGATGCCATTAAAGGGTTATATTTGTTTTCGCCAGTCGCCTGTCGCCAGCCCAGCTGTCTCATCAGAGCAGTGGGTGAGGGGTGAGAAGGAAGAGGTCACTGCTTTTGAGGAAGCGTTTGGCGCGCCATTCCGTCAAAATTGTAACACGTTCCATGACAGGACAGCTCATACCGAAACGTTCATGTTTTGCTCATTTGACGGTCCGACGGGTGAGCTTTTCAAGCCAGCTGGGTTGGTCAGGGGTCAGCGGTCTCGTCTGTCACGACGGCTCGCAACAACCCTTGCTGTGCTGTCCATTCGTTCGTCAATTTCCCGTCGCCAACAACTGTTCATGGATGCATCGCCTCGTCCCTCACTGCCTTGAATCATTGCAACCGTCCGTGCCAACCAGACCGAACCAGCTAACCAAACCAGACTGCCTGTTACTTTCCCTCGCAACTTGTTGGCCAATAGCCTCGCTCAATTGCTCCTTCTCCCTCCGAAGGTGGGCCCTCCACGCGCCTGACCTGACCTGACCTACCTGAGCTGAGCTCGTCTGGTATATTCCCGAGGCTGCTAACTGGCATCTGAAGCTTTCGCTGCTTCGTGGCGATCTCCCTTGATTCCACCGCACGCATCACCCCCGCACCAGGGGAGCACATGCGTGCACCTCCCGCAACCCATGTGCCTCCATCCAGGTCTCGCTCGGGCGTGTCCTGCGCGTGCGTTTGATTGCGGCTGGGAAAGATGCTCTGCGATTAAGAAAATTAAAACAACGAGAAAAAACGGTTGGGTAGGGTATTGAGTGAAAAACGTACGCGCGGGACACGCCGTGACTCCCCGACCTCAACTGCAGCGCGTACAAATCTATGACCAGTGCCTGCGGCCACTCTGCATTCAAGTCACGTTGCTTGTGAAAGCTACTAGCTCTCTCACGTCATAGCATACCGTTCGGTTAGGTCGTTGGTGTTGAACTGAGAACTGAGATCCGTCCTTCTCAAGTGAAGTTATTTATTGTCGCAGCTCAGTAGCAGTCTAGAGACTTTCCGCTCACGTATTGGTCGTTACTGCTTAGAAGAGTCATTTGGAATTCGTGCTACAGTAATCGTGATGGTGAATTACCCCATGAAGCCGCCTCGAATAGAAGTAAGTCCGGTGTTGTCTCTCGCTCTAATAGTCTTCGTGGCTTTCGTTTCCACTCGCCATGGCGTTAGAGAGTGTCCAGGCCGGTTCCTCTGCAGAATTCTGCAACTCCATTACTGTGCTCCGTCTCGCCATGTTCGTTGTAAAGCCAGTCGCGTCTCCATACAGAAACGACTCTAACCGCATGATATCCGCCTCCCCTCCCTCAACCTTCCCGCAGGACGGCACGCTGTGCATGCTCGGCGCGCGCACGCACAGCAGCTGCACGCTGCATCTGCCTCCCGCTCCCCCTGTCGCACCCTCGCCCTTACTAGACTCACGAGCCCCGTTTCAGCAGCAGCAGAACGGGGGTGCCTCGCAGCGGCGTCACGAGCAGTTGAATCAGTCGCTTCTAGGGGCGGCAGGGTCCACGTGGCCTGTCGTCCGCTCCGGCTTTAGCGCGGATAAGGGCGGCCGGCAGCGGATGGAGGACGCCCACGTGGCGGTGGATGACTTGTCGCAGGCGATTGGTGACGTGGCTGTTGCTCATCCGCGAGCTTTCTACGGGGTGAGTCACGCGTGGACACGGCACAAAGCTCGTTTGACGGTGTCCTCGGTTATACTTATGAGTCGACTCAGAAACCAAGCTCGCTTGGGGGTGTGCTCGATTCTACACGAGAAGCGCATGCGTCGGTAATGGAGGAGGCTTGAGAGGGATGGCGAGGAAGTAAGACATGGAGAGCAACTCCTCTTCTGCGGTGCTTAACCATTCACCCTTGTCCCCTCCACCCTATCGTGGATCTTTGTCCCGCGCCTCCCATCATTCCCCTCGTCTCCTCTACTCGTCGTCCCTTGTCCCTCTCCCGCAGATCTTCGACGGCCATGGCGGCGACGCGGCGGCGCAGTTCGCGCGGCAGAAGCTGCTGGGCCACGTGGTGCGCGACGCGGCGTTCCCGCTGCACGTGGGCAGCGCGCTGCGGAACGCGTTTCTGCGGACGGACCGCGAGCTAGAGACGGCGCGCACGCCCGAGGGGTACGCGATGGAGTCGGGCACCACCGCGCTGGCCGTGCTGCTGCTGGGCAGGTGAGGGCGCGATGGGACGTGGGGGGGCGCGCAGGTGAACGCATGGTGCTGCGCGCTGTGCTGCGCGCTGTGCTGCTGCTGGGCAGGTGGGGAGGCGAGTGCTGCTGGGGAGGTGAATATGATTAGAGACGCTGGTTCGCGGTTGGGTGAATCAGCGCTGTGTCGCACTCGAACGGTTAGGGGCGCAGTTGAACGGGCGTAGCTGCGTCTGAACCGCCTTTTCTTTGCCATGACCCCCTCCCAACCTTCCGTCTCCTGGACCCCATCCCCCTCAGGTCTCTGTATGTGGCGAACGCGGGCGACTGCCGCGCAGTGCTGTGCCGCAGGGGGCAGGCGGTGGAGCTGTCGCGGGACCACCGCGCGGCGTGCCAGCACGAGCGGGCGCGCGTGGAGCGGGCAGGCGGGTGGGTGGTGGACGACTACCTCAACGACCAGCTGGCCGTCACTAGAGCGCTGGGCGACTGGCACCTCGAGGGGCTCAAGACGCGCCGATCCTCCGCAGCTGCTGCAGCTGATGCTGATGCTTCTGGAGCTGCTACAACTGCTGCTACAGCTGCTGCTACAGATGCTGCTACAGATGCTGCTACAGATGCTGCTACAGGCTGTGCGGCTGAGGGTGGTAGTCATGCTGGGGGTAGTAGTGACGGTGATGCGGCTGCCAGTAGAGCCAGTGGCGCGGCGTGTGCAGAGCCTGCTGCAGCGAGGGCGTCGCTGTCCTCCATATGCTCCCCGGGCAGTGACAGCGACAGCGACGTGGTAGAGGGGCCGCTTATAGCGGATCCGGAGGTGCACGAGGCGCATCTGTCGAACCCCGAGGACGAGTTTCTTGTGCTGGCGTGCGACGGGCTGTGGGACGCCTTCAACAACGAGGGCGGCGGCAGCAAGGAGGTCGTGGCGTTCGCTCGCAGGCGCCTCAGACTGCACAACGACCCCCAGCAGTGCTCCAAGGTGCGGTTCCAGACTTGATGCTTCCCTTGACCCGACACCGCCTCTCTCTGTTAATCTTGGTACACTCCACAAGGTGCGGCATCCTTGATTCGAAGTGTTGCTTTGCTCGTGTTACTGCTTGCCTCACCACAGTGCAACCCCCCCCTCCCCTTGCTCGCATAACGTACCACAGGATCTAGTGGAGGAGGCCATTCGGCGGCACGCGTGTGACAACGTGACGGTGCTCACAGTGTGCTTCTCGCCGGACCCCCCACCGCTGCTGCAGCACCAGGAGCTGCTGCACTCGCAGCTGCCGCGCAGCTTCTCCGAGTACAGCCTCAGATGCCTCAACTGAAGGGGGGGGGGTTCTGGCGTGTTGCCGTGGCCTGGTGACAGGATGCTGCTTCTATTCTTTTCTGTGTGAGTTGTGCTGACCAGTATGTCGCCGCACCGCTCCAGTTTTCTGCACGATCCAGTCTGACTTGCGCCTCTCGACATCCTGCAGGTTCTTGCTCTTCCTTCCATTTATTCAAGGACTGCCCAGGGTGCATTTGATGGTGTTGCCATTGTGTTGCTCTTTCCGAAGCGTACCAGTAGCTGTGCGATTGTGTGTGCGTGCGTGTGTTTATATAAGATGTATTGTATTGTGTATTCCAGAGGGTCATTGCTTGTGGGAGTCTAGGCCATGGCATGTGACCAATGGTAGGGTGAGCCTTGGCAATGGCATCTGTGTAATCCATTGCTAATAGCCTGTACATTGTGGTGGATTATTTCACTCAGAAGCAGCTGTGTCCCCACCAGTGATGAGCGAGAGCAACTACTGAAGTAAGGGCATTCCTTCCTACTGAGCTAGGGGCATTCCTCAATCTTCAACAGCCAGCCAGGGATGTCTTGATCGTGGCACAAATTGCAAAAAGGCTCAACTAAATGTACCGTACGATCTTTGTCTGTAGGATCCCCGTAAGGTTGTGGCACAGCAAGTGGTCCAGCATGTGGTCAAGAACTTTTTGCATGAGTGAGGGAGCATTCCCCAGCCATTGATAAGGGCAGAAGACATCAGATGAACCTGAATTGGGCACCGTGGCGTGGTTTAGCTCAGAAGCTTAGCAGAGCGCTGCAGTGCAGCATGGGGAGATGCAGCATGTGGATCAGGCCGACTTCGCGGCCTCGGACACTTGCCGGATCACTGCAAGGGGCAGTCAGATCAGATGAAGCGGATTAAAGACTCATAACACGGAACGCTGCCAGAACGAACGGACAATGGACCCCACTGGTGACTACTTCACCAGGCTATGGTAGACTGGGAACTTGACCAGCAACCCATCCAGAAGCCAGTCGTTGCCAGAATCGAGTTTTGAGACGTCACAAATGTCGATTGCTATGATCAAATCGTTGTCCGAAAATCGTTGTCCGAATCTACGTCACTCCGACGGCCTAAGCAAGGTGCTGCGACGATCCCTAGAGCGTGCTACGCAACGCACCTGGCTTCTCCGGCACGCCGTTCTTCCACTGCACGATCTTGTAGTGCACCTGCTCGCGCGCGATCGCCTGCGACTTCAGCGGCTCCTTCAGGCACGCCCGCAGATGCGCCGCGCACTGATTCGCGTACGCGAGGTAAGTCATCCCCGCTGCGCGCCAGTATGACGAAGCCGCCATAGCTAACCACTATATTCCACCCTCCTATTCACGTCAACGGTGTGCGAAAAATGAATACTGGCTACTCGTGAGATAAGCCGGGCGGAAATGGCGGAGGGAAGGAGTGGGGCGGACGCGGCTGATAGTGGCGAGGTGATGGAGTGGCGGAGAAAACCTGATGGAGGACGGAGGGGAAGATGCGGAAAGAAATACTCCGAAGGGGGGGAGTGAAGCAGGGGGAGGGGGGGAAGACCTGGGGTGGGGGGAAGGTCCGAACCGAGACCTGCGAGCAGCTGTCGCGAATTGCGAACTTTTCGTGAGTAGAGGTTTCGAGATTGGCGAAATCACCTGTGCGAAACTGGCAGCTCTCATCTCAACCAGAAGTTTTATGCTTGCTGCTCGCTCTTGAAATACGAGACTCTGGCTTCGTTGCGTGAATTGAAGGTTTTATCTGCCTACCATAATCGCTCATGACCTATGCGACTTCGTATGTCTAGCGAGCTCTACAAGCATCCTCACGGAAATGACGGCCTTATCGTCGCCCAATGCGTTTACAAGGACTGATTTTTCCCCGGCGTCATCGTTTAGTGCCTTACCCCGTTCAAATCTGAACCTCACGGCTCGCTCCGGACGCCATGGCTGCCGATTTGCCTCGCTATCGCGCCGAGCAGAATCATCCCAGTCGCCGATCCAACTGCTTGACCATTCGTTAGGGTCATCGGAATCTTCGCAAACTACGCGTGAATCTCATTCAGAAACTTCTGAAGCTCCTCAATCCACTCGATCGGATCCCCTTCTGGACGCGCTGGCAGCCAACGCGGATGCTGACGTGGCAAGCTTCCACTTTCCGGCTCATCGCAGGGGTCTCGGAGCGCCTCCCCGCGCGCTCTCCGCGTTCGGCGCGGACGTTTTCCGTCACGATTTGCCAGAGCTGCCGGATCTCGACAACCTCTTCGCGCCAGAATCCGTCATCGCCGAGGCGCAGGAGCGCGCAGCCAGAGTATTCGGCGCATCGGAGACCCGGTTCTTAGTTAACGGCAGCACGGTGGGCGTGCAGGCCGCTATAGTAGCCTGTTGCCGACCCGGCGACGTCCTTATTCTTCCCCGCAACGCTCACCAATGCGCGTTTTCCGGTATGGTGCTCTCAGGAGCCGTGCCGCACTATATCCTCCCTGTGACCGATCATTCCTGGGGTATTACGCACGGAGTTACCCTGGATAGTGTAACGGAGGCTATACGACACGTGGCTGCTGCTGGCGCGCGAATAGGGGCTGTTCTGGTGGTTTCCCCGACTTATTACGGGGTATGCAGCGACATCAGGGGAATAGCCCGGGCGTGCCACGAGGCGGGGGCGGCGTTAATAGTGGACGAGGCGCACGGCGCGCACTTTAAGTTCCACAGCGCGCTGCCAGAGACGGCGTTAGAGGCGGGAGCGGACATAGTGGTGCAGTCGACGCACAAGGTGCTTGGATCGATGACTCAATCCGCCATGCTGCACATTGGTCTAGGGAATGCAGAGCACGGCAATGCGGAGCAGGGGGATGCAGAGGATGGGGCTGCAAAGCATGGGGATGCCAAGTCAGTGCATGGCAACGCAGGTGCAGCATCCCCTGCATCAGTCCCGGCAACATCACTACCAGCACCAGCAGCAGCGCCATCCCCCCGTGTGAGCCCGCGTGACATCGCCCGCGCCCTGCAGCTGCTGCAGTCGTCCTCGCCCTCCTACCTCCTCCTCGCCTCCCTCGACGCCACCGTCGGCCACATCTCCCTCCCCTCCTTCTGCTCCTCCCTCGCCCGCGCCCTCCGCCTCGCCTCGCGCCTCCGCTCCTCCCTCCAGTCCCTCGGCCTCCGAGTGCTCAGCCCAGGTGCAGAGACGGACGTGAGCAGTCCAAGCCACGGCAGCGGCAGTTTCGCAGGGTTTGACCCGCTGCGGGTGGCGGTGAGCGTGCGGGAGATGGGTATGACTGGGTATGACGTGGATGACGTGTTGCTGCGAGAGCACAGTGTGGTGGGGGAGCTGCCCTCCCTGCATGGGATCATGTTCGCTGTCAGCACGGGCACCACTGACAGGGATGTGGACCGAGTGGTTGCTGCCTTCGCTGCCATTGTGAGGGAGAGAGGAGTGGGTGAAAGGGTGGGGGGAGGGTATGGGGAGGAGGAGGATGACGAGCTGGGTCTTGGATATCTGTCGTTGCCAAGTTCACTAACCAGCAGCAAGACCGCACCGCTCGCCCCTCTGCTGCCCCCGAGGGATGCCTTTTTCTCGCCCAGTGAGGTGGTGCCAGCTGGGCAGGCGGTGGGGCGGTGCAGTGCGGACATGCTGTGCCCGTACCCGCCCGGCATCCCGGTGCTGCTGCCGGGGGAGGTGGTGACTGCAGAGGCGCTGGGGTTGCTGGAGAGAGTGCTCAGCCTTGGGGGGTCCGTGTCTGGCCTGCCCTCAGATAGCCTTGAGGAAATCCGCGTTATTGTGCGACCTGACTAGCTGTCTACCCTCGGTGCTCTTCCACAAAGCCATGATGAGTGATTTTCAAATTACAAACTTTACTAAGCAGCGCCTTTCAGTGTTACCGGACCAATCACGGGTGATTTCGCTATCATACAGGGGCACCTTACAAATCGCCGAGTATCCCATCCCATGCATCCGATTGCAAGATGGCCCACATGGTCCACATGGTCCACGTGATCCACATGGTCCACCTACCTAGTCATTAGCGAGCACGAGGAAGCCAATGGCAGTGTAGAGCAGGAAGACAGGGTACACTGCCAGCACTCTGCGCGACTCGGGAACAGCCTTGGCCACAAAGGGGTAGGCAGCTGAGGAGCTCCAGGCGAATGTGACTAAAACGAGCGCCATGCGGAGGAGGCGGGCGGTGGTGAAGAGGCAGAGGAGGGCGGCGAGGTCGAGAGGCACAAGGCAGTAGCCGAGCAGAGAGAGGCTCTGGAAGAAGATGATGCGCCCACCCTGAGAGACAGAGAGACACAGGCACACATGCAAGGGGCACCATGAGCGGCGGACAGGTGGTGAGAGCAGGTACAGGAGAGAGTGAGGAACACAGGGAGGCAGAAGCCAAAGCACACAGTGGAGCACGGTGGAGAGAGGCTCTAGAGGACAATGAAGTGCCCACCCTCTAAGCTGCGCACAGAGAGGCAGCATGAGAGGCAGAGACGTGGTGAGCGTTGGGGAGTCGAGCCAGCAACACACAGAGGGAGGCGATGACAGCCACAAGACGGGAAGTCGAGGTAGCGGAAACAAGGGTGAGCAAGGGGAAGGACGGCCGTGAGCTGCACTCACCAGCAGCTGGACATTGAGTGTGAGCACAACGGCTCCTGCTGACACTGTTCCGAACACCACCGCAAACACATGTGCCTGGGACACACAACGACCGGAAGGGAGAAACGAGCACAGAGGAGTTGGTTTTTGCGAGACTCGGAATGCAGAGAAGACAAGTGTTTTCGAAATGAAGAGAGGACTGGTTCAAGCCCAGACGAGAAAGGCAAAGGCAGTCGAAACCGAGGAGGCGGTCCTAGAGCGGAAGGGGGGCGGTCCTAGAGCGGCAGGGGGAGGTCCAAGAGCGGCAGGGGGGCGTCCGAGATCGGCAGGGGGCGGTCCCATAGCGGCAGTGGGGTGGTCCCAGAGCGGCAGGGGGGCGGTCCTAGAGCGGCAGGGGGCGGTCCTAGAGCGGCAGGGGGCGGTCCTAGAGCGGCAGGGGGCGATCCTAGAGAGCGGCAGGGGGGCGGTCCTAGAGCGGCAGGGGGCGATCCTAGAGTGGCAGGGGGGCGGTCCTAGCTCGGCAGGGGGCGGTCCCTGAGTGGCAGGGGTTAGGCAAGGGGAATGAAATGAAACAGACGGAAAGATGAGAGGGGGTAGGGTAGGGTAGGGTAGGGGAATTAATTGAAACAGACAGCAGTTGAATCTGGCAATTCACCAATGCCCGCAACGCTGGCTTCGTTACACTCGCCTATTTCTGACTCCATTTCATGCTCACCTTGTTCTCGCTGGCAGAGGAGGAGAGCAGCAGGGCGAGCGTGACTATAAAGAAGAACGGCCCCCACAGGTCCCAGTCTCGGAGAGAGCTCTGCGCGCTCGGTACTAGCACACAGCGCAGATTCGCCTGCACTCGCTGCACGTCCCTCCACAGGGTCTCCGATACCGGCTCTGGGGGGACGGGAGGACGGAGAGGGGGGGGGGGGGGAGCGCGGGGGAAAGGGGGGAGGGTGGAGCGGGGGAAGTGGCTAAGACGGCACGTCCCTCCACAATGTCTCCGATACAAGCTCTGGGGGGAGGAAAGGGGAGGGGAGGAGGGGGAATGGAAGGAGCGGAGGCAACGGACGGGTAGGGGAGGGGAAGAGGTTGGAATGCGAGGAGATGGGGAAGCTGGTTGCGGCGAGATGGAGGAGAGGGGGAGGGGAGAGCTGAGGGAGATTGGCCAGGCAGGGATTGGGAGGGGGGAGGGGGGGGAGGGGGGGCAGGGGAACTGGACTAGAGGCACGAGCAGATTCAGGCTTCAAATGTTCGCTCTGAGCCGCTCTAGGGGCACAGCGGGAGGAGATTTGTTGAGAAGAGGGAAGCGGAAGGGCGGAAAGGTGGGAAGAGAAGGGACGGGAGAGGGAGGGGAGGGGAGAAAGCACCACGAGTGGACCATGTTGCGGACTCACCTGTCAGCGTGTTTAGCGGCCGTTGCGGCGGAATGGCGCTGGCTGGGGCAACTGCGCTGGCGGGGGCGACGGCGCTGTAGCCGTCGGAGAGGGAGGACGCCGCGCGGAAGAGGTCGTCCACCGGGTCGGGCGGGCCTGTCTGCGCTGGTAGCAGCGGCTGCGCTGCCGTCGACATGAGCGCGCCGGTGAGACTCAAACGCACAGAATCCGGGGAATGGTTGTGAGAATCGAGAGCTGCACGGTCAGCGCGCGAACTGCGAACGTTGGATGTTGGAATCGGAACAGAACTATTTGTAACTAGCACCAACGCGTGGCGTTTCTGGTGTGGTGCAGAAAATATGGGCGTGTAGGTGCGGCATCTCCCCCCGGAGTATACACGTTATTCGCTAGCACTTGGGCTCCAGACACAAAATCTTCTAGCGTGGGTATATTCGCGACCAGAAAACTGGGAAGGCTTTCTGTGCGCTACATGAGTACCTCGACAACGCGGATACTTTTGTTTGAGTGCACAAATCAGCGATGATTGGGTGCCGAACTTTCTGGAGGGGTGGTGGCGATCGATTGGTGGTTGCGTGTTGCGAAAGATGTCGCCATCGTCGCGAGAACCGCCAAGTCTTCGTGAGTCGTGACTCCTTGATTTTACCGAGAGCCAACCAAGCCAGCAATTTCCCAGGGCGTGCGTTCTTCTCCCTGCTGACGTTCAAGTCAACCAAGAGCCATAATTTACTGATCAAGTTCACCCTCAGACCGATAGTCTCACCGTCAAACTCGCTCATCTTTCGTCCTGAACAGGTTTACGCACTCTTCCCAGCTGAACTGCAGTCTGAAGCATACTTCTCCTGGGATCAGCGACCCTCGTGTTCCTTCTGCTCGTATCCATCTCCTCGCTACCATTCCATAGACGCGATGCCTCGTGCTACCAGCAGATCTTCAGGTAAGCTCTCCCGTCTTGGGATCATCCAGACTCCTGATTTTTACGCGATCACCGGCAGTCCTCACCACGAGATCACCGTGCGACTGGTTTCTCTCTCGCCTGCAGGGTCGAGGGCCTCTGCTCCGGCGAGGCCCGCGCCGAGGCCAGCGCCTGCATCGCACACTCACTCCGCGCCTCCACCCGCACCAGGTAGTCGATCAGACCATTTTGGCTCGCTCTTCGTGCCTGATCCAACCAGATCCGTCGGATTTTCAACGCCTGCGTTCAACCTCCATCTCACGTGTCTTCTTGACACCTTTTACTCTCGGGTCCCCTCCCATCACTTGTGCAGCAGCGCAACCCGCGCCTCCCCCGGCTCAACCAGCAGCAGCCTCTGGAGGGGGAAGCATGCTGGGTGGACTGATGCAGACGGTGGGAGAGGGCATGGCGTTTGGCACTGGCTCCGCCATCGCCAACAGAGCGGTGGATGCCATCATGGGTCCGCGCACTGTGGTGCATGAGCATGTAAATTCCGCAGCTCCTGCTGCTCCTTCTGCCGCTGCGCCTGCTGCAGCTCCTGCAGTTGCCAGCTCGCCGACGGACTGTGCTCAGCTGCAGCAGGACTTCACCAAGGTAGGCTTCTGTGCAAGGGATCCATGAATGTCACTCCCAGCTACAAGTGGAGACCCGTGTGCTACTTTTGCTGCCTAATGGCTTGATGTGTTCACCTCACCTCCCTCCTGAACATGGTGCTGCTGCGTTCATTTCCCCCTTGACTGCCTTTGCAGTGTGTGGAAGCTCATGGGAGTGACATCTCCAAGTGCCAGTTTTACCTAGACATGCTCAATGAGTGCAAGCGGAATGCCCCTTCAGGTCAGTTGATTGTGTTCCTAAGGCTTCTTTCCAGGCTAAGCTCTTCCCAGATTAGCCCTTCTCGCCTGAATCTCGGAACACGCTGCTTGGTTGCATTGCATGGAAGCTCAAATATTTCCAGTTCCTGCTTCCTTGTCTCCATTTACCAACATCTCGTTTGTCTGTCTTGCAGGAACTGTGCTTCAGTGAGGGTAATTGACAACAGTTCAATATTATTTGGTGCAGGGCCTCAGATTGCAGGCTTTTTACCCTGATTCAGGGTAAAATCAGGGCTTTTTTGGGGGGTGACCCTGATGACACAGGATTTTTTTAAGACAGAGGCCTGAAATTTCAGGGTTTTTTTAAGAGTGAACTCTGATCGATCAGCGTGCGTAGTGTAGTGTGGCCTGTTTTTCCAGCGTCGTAACGAAGCCCGACCCTGATTCTTCTAATAGCGGATTCCCAGTCCCAACTCCCCCGCCCCGTGATTTCCGTGAATCCCCCCCCACCGTCCCTGTCAATGACGCCGACTCGAGTGTGACCAACCAGATTCCAGCCCCGCTGGAGAATATTCTATCAAACAGTGAAATTGATGAATAGAGAGAGAGAGTACACAAACATATACCTAACAGTTGTACTCTCTAGAAGATGACCCTATACAGTCTATACAAGCATGATAACTAAACATGTTTGACACACCCCCTGGACTGCATAGGGGAATGTTCTAGACAAGCAGCTCAGGGTGGCACTACTAGTCCAGCCTCTGAGACAAGGGTCTAAAAGACCAGTCAGAAGGAGTACAGGCAAGGCAAGAACTAGTACAGGGCGGCACTACTAGTCCAACCACTGTAAGAGGACACAAGTCCAGTCTGAGTGTACACACAGATATATATAGGGCAGTACAAAGTCAAGGCCCGAGTAAGTGAGAGACTACAGGAACCAGACCAAGCTGTACACAGTGCCGCTGATGATCTTTAGGCGCAAGCGCCTTCGTAAAGATATCAGCTGTGTTGGCACCGGAGGCTAAGTGTACTACGCGAGCCTGGCGACGCTGCTGTAGCTCACGCAGGAGGAAGTACCGCAGCTGGATGTGCTTCGCTCTGCCCTCGAGTCGAGGCTCCTGACACAGGAGGATCATGGCCCTGTTGTCAGCGTACAGGACCGGGGCAGAGCTAGGCCGCTCACCTAAGTCAGTGAGCAAGAAGGTCAGCCAGCGGAGCTCCTGTGCCGCCATGGCACCGGCGTAGATCTCAGCCTCACAGCTGGACTGGGCAACAGACGAGGAGCGGGTAGCTCTCCACGAGACAGCACCTGAGCCAAGGCTAAAGCAGTAGCCCTGGGAAGACCTGAGCGTCTCGGCGTCGTCTGCCCAAGAAGCGTCTGTGTGTCCAGTAAGGACCACTGGCCTGCGTCCGCCTAGCACTAACCCCATGCCCGATGTACTTGCAAGATAACGCAAAACCCTCTTAGCGGCAGACCAGTGCTGAGGTCGGTGTCTGCCTGTGGCCACGAAACGAGCCAGGATGCTGAGAGGGTATGCGAGATCTGGGCGAGTGCAAGTCATCAGGTACATGAGGCAACCCACTAGCTCAGCGTAAGGACCACTGGGATCTACCGACTCCTCAGGAACTGGAGCGGAGAGTCTGTGGTCCAGAGGAAGAGGGGTGGGCTGTGCGGAGGAGAACTGAAGGCCGAACCTCTGAAGGACCTGGCGCACCAAGTGTGACTGAGTCAGGGTGATGGTGCGCGCGGCTCTGTCCCTGGAGATCTGCAAGCCAAGGTAACGGCGCAGCTCTCCAAGGTCAGTGCAGGTGTGTCTCTTCAGCAGCTCTGCCTTCACGGAGGCCAGTGCGTCCCTGTCAGCAGTGGCAAAGACCAGGTCGTCTACGTAGACGAGGATGTAGAACGGAGTCGAGCCAGCACGAACGAAGAGCGAGGGGTCTGCAGAGGACGGAAAGAACTGCAGGTCAGCACATGAGACGCGGGAGAGCAGGGTGACCTAAGCGGTGGTGCCAGAGAAGGGAGGGGTGAGTGAGGGACCGACACGAGCAAGCTGCAGCGACCTGGGAGGACGCACCAACCGGGGGGGAAGCGGTGTGTAGGGTAAACAGACCGGACACCGGGTCCCGGGGGAACGTCGCAAGGGGGGAACCTGAGACAGCCTCAGAAAAGACAGCGAACCGCTCGTGCCCGGGGAACGTGGTGGTGACGCCGAGGTCCTGGAGACAGCCGACACCAACCAGGTTCCTGGAGAACGAGGGAACGTGGAGGCCAGTAAGGGAGCCCGAGGGAACTGCCGGACAGGGAAGGGACGTAGAACTGCGCGCGACGACCGGACCCGCAGAGGGGTCAGCGAGAGAGACAACAGCAGGTGCAGCAAGCGGCGTGAGCGTGGAACGGTCGCGGAAGAAGCAGGCAGAAGCACCAGAGTCGAGAGTGAAGGACAGCGACGCAGTGGCGGGGGCCGGGGACGGAGCCGGTGCAGCGACTAGACTAGGCAACCTAGGCAGTCCTACGCCTGTCGCAGCAGGGGAAGCTAAGCTACACAAGGGTGAAACACCTAAACTAGAGTACACAGGGTAGTAAGATCCATCAACACTAGAAGCGTCAGCATACAAAGCATGCAAAGCAGCACCTATCTGATCCATGTCTAACTCAAAGATCGGCACGCCCTGGCGGAGCAGGCTGTGCCAGTCAGGGAGGTCCGGGGCCGGGCCAAAGCGACGACGAAAAAGATCGTCGAGGCGGCGGAAACAGCGGGCGGTCGGGTGCGGGCGGCGGCACAGAGTGCCGCGGAGAGGCCCGGTCTGAAGCTGGTACTGGCAGGTCACAGCACTGGAGCCGCTGGTAGACGCCAAGCTGCGCGGGCCGCCACCACGGCCACCGCCTCCGGAGGTGCCGGGCCAACCAGGCGGGAGACGAGCCCACGGCTGCGGCGGGTGCTGCTGGGACGGCGGCTGCGGCTGGGGCTGGTCCTGCTGCTGCTGGGACTGCTGCTCCTGCCCACCGGTGGTAGTCCCCTCAGGCAGACTACCGTCACCACCACCACGACCACTACCACCTGCGTCACCACCCCTACCTCCCTGGCGGCCACGGCCACCGCGACGCGAGCGCTGCTGCGGGTGGACAGCAGCAGCCGTCTCGGTAAGAGGGGTCGCCGTGGCGACCGCAGCCGAAACGTCAGTGAACGTGCACGGGGATGGGGCACAGCCGTGAAAGATAGAGACTGGCGGCGCACCGCTCGACTGAGCGATAGTGCGCTGGCGAGTCTCGATCTCAGTGAGGGTGTCGACAAAGGCGGTCAGGGTGAGGTCACCCGGGTGCTGGCTAAGAAAGTGGTCGCGAGCACTAGCGAGGCGGTCTGGCAGGCGCATAGCGATAAAATAGAGCGTCATGCAGAAAGGAGGGGGGAGCGCAGTGAGCTGGGCAGCAGTGCTGGCAGTGCGATAGCGAGTCTCTAGGGCACGCAAATGAGTGGCAAAATCTGCGACAGTAGGGAAGGCAGCCAGGTCTGGGAACAGCATCGGAAAGAGCAAGCGGCCAGCAGAAGCGGAGGCAGGGGTGGAATA